CCCATGCGAAGCCCATGCGAAACCCATGCGAAGCCCATGCGAAACCCATCCGAAGCCCATGCGAAGCCCATGCGAAACCCATGCGAAGCCCATGCGAAACCCATGCGAAGCCCATGCGAAGCCCATGCGAAGCGAAACCCATGCGAAGCCCATGCGAAGCCCATGCGAAGCCCATGCGAAACCCCTGCGAAGCCCATGCGAAGCCCATGCGAAGCTGCGTCTTAGAAGCAGAATGTGGCCTATCGTGGCTTATCTTTAGACCGCACTTTCAGGTTTGTTTTTGGACATCAACCTTGTGCAGCTTGTGGAAGCAATTTTTGCTGCCAGGTGGCTGGGGATCAGTTTGACAGCTGTGAGTGCCTGGGCGGAAGGTTCTGAAACGAACCGCATCGGCACGACTGATGGCTCGGGTGGGTTCGGCCCTGGTCGGACTTACTTGGTGAACCGGTGAAACATTGTGCTTTGTATCAGGAGCGCTCCGCAGACTAAAACGATCTGGGCACCGAAAACCGGCGGTGTGAACCTTCCATGGAGCGTGTGTTTCTTGGTGTCTGTTCATCAGATGATTCGGTTCGCGGGTCCTCTGGTAGGGTGATTTGCTCCCTTGCATGACTCGGGAGTAGTGAGTCACATCTAGCATTCCTCCACACAAGGCTAGAGTTGTACGGATGGGTGGATCCGTTGGGGCGCTCAGGGCTACTTCTGGATCAGGTTTGGAAGATAGCTGTCCGCTTCCCACACCACTTGATGTCAATTTAGTCGAATTTGTTCCCAACTTGCCCGACTTGAACGAACGACCTCCCGTAGTTTTAGGACGCTACTAGGTGGAGGCCATCGCAAGTAGGTTGGAGGCCATCGCTACGAACGTGGCAAGAAGCTAGTAGTAGCTAGAAGCTACTAGGTGGAGGCCATCGCTATTAGATTGGAGGCCATTGCTACGAAACTATGCGTAGTAAGCCCAACGACCGTCCCCGAACTCCGAGGACGGTGAAGCCTTTTTGCAGCTCGGTGACCCTGGAGTCGACCTGGGCTCCTGATCAAGGACCCAGTCCACCGGCGTGTGAGTGCCTTGAGGTTCAGGTGGTTCAGGTGCTGCATGTGCACATGGCTGAGATGGGGACGTTGGGCCGTTTGGGCAGTGAAGATGAGGACGCGGCATTTTGGCCAGGATGCTCTGCCCCATGACTTGTGGCTCGGCAGAGGCACAGCTTCAGGACTGTGCTTCGCCAAAGCGATGTCTTGGGCGGAACCTTTTCACGGGACATGAGGTTCCTGGTGATTTTTTGGTTGAGGGAAGAAATCCCAAGAGAGCTGAAGCACCACTTAGTCACTACTGTTGGTGGCTCACACCTCTTTTTTAATCTTTTTTTTGGTGCTTGTGCTGTCCGATGGAAAAGCTCTCAGGTAACACCGAAAATGGCGGCTACAACCTGCTCACTCACCTCCTTGAAGGGTGCTATTATACGCGAGCACCCATCGACACTATCCAAAATGCACAAAAGCATTCCATGGAGTTGAGGCTTTCTGCCTAGGATCTCCAAACTGCAACTATTCAGAAATGCCAAAACTAAACGCATTCTGAATTTCTTATTCCTTTCGAACTCTGACAGCCAGCAAAAAGAACATGCCAGCTGAGTGATACCGGAATACTGCGAGACCACTCTGCTACAGTCGCTTCGGTTTAACCGGCTCCGCGAAAAAGTAAAACACACCGGAAGATGGGCCCGCGTCCACGCCGGTCGGAACCGGTGACGCACGATTTCTTCAACGAAGCTTCCTCCGAAGAGTTGCGGTGTTGAACGGCCACCGTGAGATCGTGATGTCAATGTGGGTCACGAAACTGTCAGACCGTGTGATATCCGAGTGCATGTCAGACCTGTTGAATGTCTCGGACTTGAGCTACCCGACTTCGAGAGCACATGGGATATTCCAAATCATTTCTCATTCCTTTCCGTAGAAGTCCAGATCGACTGTTTTTGGCACCAGGTGCCTGTGCTCACGAGATTCCTTGAAATCGGGTCACCCACTCAGCCAGTCGACCCTTTTGTTCCAACCGACCTCAACTGGACTCCACTTCGGCTTTCCACACCGACCTCCCCAAGCTCCGAAGGTCACACCGACCTCCCGGATCCGCGGATCCGATCCTCCTGTCGAGACCGAGCGATCGAGGTCTCTGCTGGAGCGAAATTTCTCCAAGGCTCATCCAAACAGGCCAGGCTGGACCCACTAGCACTAGCAGCTCACTAGCACTCGGACCCACTAGCATGGGCACCGCGTTTTTTCAGAGTCGACTGTCTGTCGAAGAGGGTGAAGTCGAATTGGATGCGGCAAAAAGGATGGAACTGAAGTCAGTTCCTGAGAGTTCGGAGCCTTTCTTCATCTCCATCGTGATGCGTTTATCTTTACTTTTATTATTACTTAAATTACTATTACATAGACATTACTATTTGTGTCGTTTTCTTTTTAGCCAGAGACGTCCAATGCCAACTATAAGACCTGGGTTTTTTAAGTGGAGGTGGGCCACTCCCGAATTTCTCACAACTCGTGGGCACCATGGTGCTTCAAATTCTGTCTCGACACGTCAAGACATGGCGTCATCAGTCTTCAGAGCTTCCATCAGTGGTGCGTTTGGACCGCTCCGGGTTCGTCCTCCCGATTGCTTCATTCATTTGGTGGTCTGCATTCATGGTGTATGTTTTCTTCCTTTTTTCTTATTGCTCGTGAAACGCGGTAGGTGCAGTGTGCGGAGAGGTTGAGGATTCACCAAGCATTCAACTCCAAGGCCATTGTCATCCAATGTTCATCTCATAAATCAAAACAGTGGAAGGAGAGGAGACGAGAACTCCCAATCATCACTCTAAAAGTACAGAGATCATCAAGGATCCAATCAAAGAGAATCAAAGATTCATCATTCATCATCTAATCATCAAAGAACCAATACATACAGCAGATGAATTATGTAACATCCAGGTTGGCCTTTGAAGGACATGCTCCCGCATACGTCGGCCTTCGCTTCGCGATCAGGCATTGGTCCCCAACTTAATCTCTCGACCAACAAAACTAGCTGGTGCTTCCTAGTGAATGAGAGAGGATGAACCCCCCACTTAAAATCTTAAATTCCTTCACCCGAGAATTCCACGCACAACAGTCGCACCAGTCAGAGCAGAAAACCTTGGCACGGTGTCCTCGACCGAAGGACACCGTGACCGTCCCACGCGGTCGTGTTCCGTCGCGTCAGGCTGTCCGAGCTCATGTACACAGACCTTGGCCGTCGCTCACCGGAAGTAGGGAGGGACCACGAAAGGATGGACCAGGAAAGCGTATTCAGGAAGAACAGAGATCAAAGATGATCAACGAATATTTTATAGCTTCCCGGAACGGTCGCAGATGTTCTAGCAGAGGATTCACTTTTCTGTCTATTTGCGATCCCACGAATATCTTAGTCAGAGATAGGGTTGACGTACCATGGTTGCAGTTTATTCAAAGGCGACCCCGAACTTTTGTGTGCATGGGATAAGTGACATGTGGAAGAACAGCGAATCACCAGATGATTCTACCTCATTCAGGAAGCTGCGGGAACAGCAATGGGCCCGTTTCCAGCCTTGCTGTGTATGGTCCGAAACAGCCCCCGACAAGCGCCGACTTCAGTCTATACCTTGGCTCCGCCTTGGCTCCGTCCATGGCTCGGTGCCACCTGTTCCAGGATGGTTTTGGCTTCACGGTACAGCATCGGAACGAGGAGTTCGAGAACGCCCCCTGATGCTCGGCGACGAACCACCCGATGGGCCCAGGTGCCCGGACCTCACACCGTGGGCCTGCCAGGTGTTGGCACCCTGAGATTGGATATGGGCCTATGGGGGTGTGTTGGAATAGGGGAAACCTCCCTGGCCCTAGTGGTAGAGTACCTGAAGGGGTGCTGGGTGCTTTCTAGTCATGTGCGTCCTGTGCGTCCCATCCAGTCTCCACAGCTTCCAAGGTAAAGACCTCACTGTGCCGCAGCTCCGGGCCACCCCAGCCTTCACCGCATGGATTGCCCAGCAACTTGGGAGTGAACACAGCTTGGGAGTGAAGATCGAGCGAGCAGCTTCCGTGCCGGAACTCGGTGCAGTCGCTGGATCTTACAAGGATGGATCCATCAGATCCCCTGGGGGGAGTAGGGGGCATCCAATCCATCTTGAGGTTTTTTTGCTTCATCCTTTTCGTGAGAGGAGCCACCCTGAAGCAGGATGGTCTCAACAGTCTAAACGCAGGCCAGGCTAGTCGACCAGTGCAAAGCAGTTGATCCGTTCCAGCTCTGTCGGGTTTTCCCACACCCCGGGCCATTCGATCTCCCGGCCGAGCGGTCGGAGCGCGCCGGGTTCCGCTACCGAGGCTTCGGAGCTATGCCAATGCGACCAGCGGGGGCTCTCGGTCGGGAACACGCGCAGGAGGACAGATCTGAGGATTCAGCACATCAGATGGGGACACCTGAAAAAAGGGATGTGCCAATTGAAATGACGAAAACAATGCCTGGAACAGTCAGTCAACAGTATTTTTGGACCAGGATACGTGTGTATAACACAGAGGTGTGGATCAATAAACTCATCTTGGGAGACAGCGGTTTTTGTCTCATCCTGTTGTCATCGGGTTGTACGCACTACATGTGCATTCACACGTGTGCATGTATACGCAAATTATGTGCTGTAGTGTATCTACAAATGTGGGTGTGGGTCAACACCAGCAGCCCCAACCCTATGTTGACCTCCCAGGTAGTCTATTCTGTGCATTTTCCATGGTCAACCAGGATCCGCCGGTTTTGACCCACAGCCATGTATCATCACAGACACACGAGTCATTTTGCTAGTCTGGAAACCACGAACGCTTCAGCAAGACGAAGCTTCAGCAAGACGAACGTATTGCGCCCGAAGAACCTTTTTTTGTTTATAAGAAGAACCACCGCGCCTTAAAGGTTTCTAGAGGTAGCACGCTGATGAATTGTGGCACCTATGAGGAGTGGTATCATAGGATTTCAAAATTCTCTTTCGTCTTTTTGTTGAGATGTTCCGGTATTGTTGGCAGAATGATTCTAGATGGGACGGCCTTTGTGGCTCAGCTTCAGAGAGGACCCGAAGTGCAAGGGATTTTGGGAAGATGAGGGTGAACCCCCCCAGTGCGTGGGGGTTTTAAATTTGGATCTTCCAAGGGTGCCAAATTGATGCCTTTTCATCTATAAAACCAGCCAAGTTAGGCAGACATTTGGCACAGTTGGAGGATCTAGGTATGGGGGATGGAGGGTTTCGGGGTGTGAACACAAATGGTCAAGCTTCTTGTCTGTGTGTTGGTGTTGGTCTTTCCTCAAGAGTTTTTTTTTTTCTCTCCATCTCCACGAACATTGCAATCGTCATGGGGTTGGGATGAAAGTGAGGCCTCAGACCAGTTTGCTTTGGCGAATCAATGGGTTGCCTGAAAGTCTCGACTTCCTTCCCTGGAAACACATTGCCCGCCTTGCGTCCACAGTTAGGTGCCTATTCAACTGAAGTTGCTTCCGGAGGTTTCTTCGTCCACAAGGGTTTCGGGTATACGCCACCCAATCAGCATGGGTGGGGGGTTGTGCATCCAACCCCCCACAAGGAGGGTCTTTACACTGGTTTGATCTGGAGGACATCATTCACCAATTCTTTGTGTTGATTTGGATCCATGTTTGCAAGTCTCTGTTGAGTGAACGTAAGGACCTTTATCCTTGGATGGTCTACGATCAATACGCGTGTTGGCAATATATAGTTGTGGTGCACTTGTTTAACGCGGAAAGACAACAGGACTGGTGTGAAGACCTCACTGATTTTTTTAAAGCTAAAGCTAAAGGAACAATACTCCGGGAGCTACGGTTGCTCCGAGGTGATGACAAGATGGCCACCATCGCCAACTTGATGTGGGAGGATGGCTGCAACATCGACGGTGCCTGGGGCGAAAGAGGATTGTACGTGGAAGGTCTAAAATCTAAAACGACAACTTGAGTTCCCTCACTACTTTGCAAGTTGGGACCTTCCATTACAATCCATTTGTTTTGCGTTCTTCCTTAGCGCCAGTTGCCAAGTCCCCGGAAAAAACTTGCACTGCGGTGCTGATCAATTATCTGCTGCTGTGGCAGCTGTGTGATGCCAGTCCGAAGGTAACTACACCACCTTTGCATGCTACTACTCCAACCCTGGCTTGGCATCTGGAGTGACTTGGATGTAGCTGAGATGGTATGTTCTCTGAAAATCATGTGGTCTTGGCGTGTCTTTCCGGTTGGGTAACCATGCTTGGGTTCGATTCTCCCCTTGCGCTTTCTGCCCCTGCCTGCCTGCTGCCTACCTGCGATGGCCTGTTGCGAATGTTCCAATAGGTTTTCGACACAGCTCAGGTGTCGCCAGGAAGTAGATCCTAGATCCTATAGCCGACAGACGAAGAACTTTTTTCCTTTTGGGCATTCACATTTTTAGCAAAGTCATTGCTACTTGAAAGTGCATGAGGGTGAAAGAAAGAAGGCAATGCCGAGTCCATGTTGTTATCAACAAGATGTTGATGAGGATGCGCTTGCCTGATGGTGATGGGGGTCGCACTGGCGTGCGGAGGTGTGGAACGTTAGCGTCCCACCCCACCCCACCCTGCCCCGCCCCTCCCGGCCCCACCCTTGATGCTGGTGATGCTGGTTTTGTGTCGCAGGCATAATGTGTGTCGCATGTGATCGGCAAACTCATGTCGCGAGTGAATGCTGGACTCCTTTGGCACGCGCTCGGTTTGTTGGGCGAGTTCGGGAATGGCTGAGCGTTCTGCTCCAACAAAACAGGAAGCAAGTAAATCCAACATGAAAGGGACCATAATTATTGAATGAACCACACAAGAATCTTAGATTGAAGGAACATCTTCAGAACCGGCCTTCTGAACGGAAGTCGAAGACGCTGATCGGAAGTCGAAGCATGGGACATTCGAAGGTTCTGCATTGGTGGAAGCTAAGAAGACACCAAAGGACCTCTCACGCAAATCAAGTCAAGACATGCAATGAAGCGTCCATAGCTGGGTGTTTCTGCTGGAGCCCTGACAGTCAGTCTGGTGTGACATAGGCCAAACACCGGGGAATTCTGACCGCAAAATGCCGTCCCCAAAAGTGGCAGGTCATTCAGCTACCCACGGTCATGCAGGTGACGCCACTACTGACAATAAAGATTGTCACCACAAGACTCTGAGATTTTGGTGCCTACAGTACATTTCAGGTGTCGGACCACCTGAAGATCGAACGTGGTGAGGAGACGAAGAAAAACCAACGATCATCTTCTCGCCGCGAAAAAACCAGTGCAAGGTTGGATGGTCTCCGCAGGTCACTCCGTAGGTTCCTTCAGAGGTCTGGCCCCTGGGGGGCGATTGCCCGCAGTCGGCATCCAGCGTACGCGAGCAGCTCGCTGGGCGGGTCTGAGTCGGACTGGGGACATGAGGCGCGGCCTTTTGGTGGCTTCTCCTTCTTCTGTTCCGAGACGTGCTGCGACTCGAACAACCCTGGGCCGGAGCGGGGTTGTATCATGGATGTTTGTATCGGAGAGAGATGGGGAGAGATGGGGGCGAAAGAGGAACTACCGGTGAAATAGTGCTTTTCGATGCGATGAAGAATCATGTTGTTGAAGATCATGGTCATCTTGGGGAAAAGACCAGATGCTGAAAAAGAGATCCAAACGTTTGAAGAGCCCAAGCTGTTTGTCTTGAGGCTTGAATCACCAAGGCAGAACTCACTTTAAGGACTTCTTCTTGCCATGCAAACACTTAAGAGCTATGGGTTAATGATTTCCTTCCAGCCCTCCATTTACAATTGTTGGTCAACTCATGCGGCTTCTTCAATTTGCTTTGTGCAGCGCAGGACACCGATACCAGCTTCCAACAGATGACCTGCCCCTTCGAGTGCTTTGCCAAGCCCTCTGGGGGGTCGAGTGGCCCTCAACCCTCAGATGGAGCCCCTCCAGATGGCTCATCCAATGAGCCCAGCGGGGGTGAAAATGGGACACAGTCTGGATCTGGAACTGGCGGCTCTGGCGGCACCGACTCTGGCGGCTCTGGCAGCTCTGGCGGCACCGACTCTGGCGGCTCTAACGGCACTGACTCTGGCGGCTCTGGCGGCTCTGGCGGCACTGACTCTGGCGGCTCTGGCGGCTCTAACGGCACTGACTCTGGCGGCTCTGGCGGCACTGACTCTGGCGGCTCTGGCGGCTCTGGCGGCACTGACTCTGGCGGCTCTGGTGGCTCTGGCGGCTCTGGCGGCACTGGCAGGGGCACGACCGGGTCAGGGTGCTACTTGACCCTGAGTTGTCTTTTTTCTTATCTCTCTTTCTCTCTCTCTCTCTTTCTCTCTCTTCCTTTTCAATGTTTTTGGATTCCTTTTTTGTCGAATTCCTTTGGAATTACAAGGACATTACAGGGACATGAAAAGGAATCAAGAGAACTAGAACAGGAACGGAGAGGAAATCAACAGGAATGCGAAGGACAGCAAAAAAGTAAAGAATTGTGAAGTTCTATGAAAAGGAGAACAACGAAACAGAACGTACAGGAAATCAAAAGAAATGATGGCAACAGATTCACAGCCCCCCAAACTGTAGACTCCGTATTTGTTGGGTAATCATTGAGGGTTTTCCAATATACACGGTAGAATGCCAGAATTCCACAGTGAATTAGGTATTTGAACTGGTGTGCAAACCAAAGCTTTTCAGAGTCGAATCAACTTGGAATGTAAAAGAAGGACCGGCAAAAACACCTCGCAGTGGAACGGGGCCACTGTCCATGAGTCCATGAACCTTTGGCAGCGCCTCTTCGCCCACAGCGCCTTGTGGTCGGGGAGAAAGATCGAGTTCTCCACTGTGAAACTCCGTTTTCGCTCTTCCAGCGCAGATGAACTGCGTGTTGCGACAGACTATGGAAGACACCACCCCATACAGGAATGTCATTCTTCCCCTTGCCATGCCGGGTGAACTCATCGAGATCGCGTCAGTCCTTCATTGTCTGAACAAACCTCCGATCCTGGCAGCTGTGGGTGCTGTGTTCCCATGCCGAGCGTCCATGGGTCCATGGGTCCTGGGTGAGCCTTGACCCTCGATTTTTAGGCCCTCCACCGTGAGCCTCGAGCAGACCTCGTCCTTCGATCGGGAGAGTTGGGTGCGATCGGGGCGACGCGACGCGACGCGACGGGTCCCGGGTGCGATGGTCTCCTTTTTCCCCCAACGGGGCGAATCCGACGTGTCCCCTGACCCAACTCCCTTCTGGGGAATGTCTTCGAATTTTTTCCCGGGTCACAACGCACATGGCCTGTGAGTCGGATCCAAGGATCCAGTCGCCGGAACCCAGCCAACCCCCAGTCGGCGTTTTCCGCAGGGAAGCCTGGCCAGCGACCTTTGGATAGAGACCGACGGAACAACTACATTTCCCAACGTAGTTGTGGTGGGTTTTCCATGTTTTTTTCAGGAACGAGGTACATATATATATATATGGTTTGGGTCTGTCCTATTACCTGTAACAGTCAGTAAACAATGATCACCATTTTAAAGGCTTGCAACCTAACCATCATCATCCACTGAGGCTCTGGTAATAGGATAGACCCCCCAAAAAAGGTCTTGTTTCTATCTTTGGGTGCCTGGAGGGATGGGAGATCCTGGAGGGATGGGAGATCCTGAGGGATGGGAGATCCAACTCATTGGCCAGTTGGGAATGGAATGCACAGCAGTGAACAGGGAAGGGTGGGAGGCAGTCACTGGAATTCCAGCACACAGTCCCCATCCTGCAAGCTGCCAAGCGAGTGCCAGCGCATCGAGGAATTGTATGTTTTTGGTGATGGAACATGAAGCATCCGAATTCGAAACAATGACAGAAACAAAAACACCTCCTGACTCAGCAACACGCGACCAATATGATTGAGAACAACCTGGCAGTGACGCAGGATGACGCACGGTCCAGTTCGTGGTTGCCAGTTCCAGGGTAGAAAAACCAGCTACCATTAATGGCTTTACACTTTCAAAGCCTCAGAGTTGAAGAGGGTTTTTGACCTCCTGGTCCACAGACACGGGGAAATGTCGTTGTTGGCGAGTGGGCACAAAAAACAGCCCCGAGAAGGTCTCTCATGGCCCTACCTAGCATCTACTTCTTGTCGGTTTTGGGCAGACACTTGCACAAGAACTTGGGCATGGTAGGTTGTGTGTGGTAACTTAGGATGAAACTCGCGTCAATGAGCTGTTTGGACAACCGACACCCCGTGCCTGGCTCCATTTGCGTACGCGAGTTTTGTTGGATCCTTACAGCCTTCCCCATTTTCCCTGAGAAGACGTTGAACTGAACTACTCGAGGATTCCGGCGCTTGAACGCCTCCTCCAACTACTGAACAACAGCCTTCCCCGTACTCCCCGTGCTCCCATCCTGTCGCCTCCTCCGCTGTCGCCTGCCGGGTCCTGTCCTACAGGGCGACGGTCGTTGTGTTGCCCGGACCTTCGCATCACTGGAGAGAGATGATTCGATCTGCTAAAAGATCGGCATGCCAGGACGTGACCAGGGGGCAGCCTGCAGTTTTTAGGCGGCGTTTGCTGGCTCGATGTTTGCAACGATGTTGTTGGAGTGAAGGTGGACCAGTTCTTCAAGGCATTTCAGAAAAGACCACAAGCAAAGAGGTGGGAACAAACTAGAGCTACTTAGCTACTTGAGATTCGGCAGGTATTTGGCTCAGATTGAACCACAGTCAGCATTTGATCAGTGTTTTGCAATGTTTTGCTTTACATTTCTATGTATAGATCCCAACTCCCAACAGATTGATTTGACTCGGGTCCCCACTTAAAGATAATGACAAGATCCTCGTCTACAGGCTCGTGCTTGTCAGCTCACCTTGTCAACGGGAGATGTTGGGCAATCGTCGTCCAACATCTGGTGTACTGTACAATGCATACCTTTTTGGGCCAGGAGGGCATGCACCAGATGTGGTTAGATTAGATGCTGAATATGCGGCATAACATCCGTTCGACTTTGTCCCGCGGATGTTAATGCTGGGCATCACAGTCTTTGTTTGTTCGCTCAGACCATACTACTGTTAGAGTTAGTTACTATAGAGTTGAAAAGAGTCCAGACCTTCAGCAAATCTGCCACAGCTGTTGCACCCACACTGAGCATGCGGAGAACATAGGTGTGCAAACCATCATACTGGCAAATGTGCCAAGACAAAAGGCTGCTAATGGCAGCATGCCGCATGCTGTTTTCAAGGTGTAATTCTTGTTGATGCTTAGTGAGGAATGTAGGCTAAATCAAGCCGTCTGGGATGGCAAGAACTTGTCCATCAAGCCTTTGCCCAGAGCTGCTGAAGCTGAACCAATCAGCGTGAGTTCGCCATCAGCCGGGTTCATCCCATTTGTTCGATACTTGACCATCCCGATTCTTCGGCGCTCCTAAAGCTGACATGGAGTGCTGACACGGCCAAAAAGGCTGTGCCGCTGCCGAAACGGCTCAGGCCGACGGGCAAGTACTGCAGCACTCGACGGCGCTCGCCTGGTCGAAGACGGATGGATGAGCAGCGGATGTGTCCTGAGTACTACCGCAGATACGAGCCAGTCGTGTCCTGTGTCCTTAAGACGTGTTTGTTTCAACGTGTTGGGACGAGCAGATACAACCCAGTGAGTAGGATCATGATGGACGACCCCCGATGCCAACACTCAGAATGTGCGAGCGAGATGTGAGGGACAGTGAATGCCAGAGCATTCATCGGGTTGTTGGGTCCTCAGAGAGGAGAGGTTCACTTATATATCATCGATAACCTTAGCCACATGTGTGTGTATTAAAATAGGGAGACCTCGCAGGCAAGGATCCCCAGGAAGAAGAAAACGACCAGTCTACCCAGCCAGGGCCAGGGCGGTCTCCCTACTGAGTCCCTACTGCACCCCCAAAACCAGTCATGTCTCGAGCCAGACCAGTCAGTCCACCATGTAGGGAACGACCAGCCCACCAACGCTATGATCAGAGCCATTGCGATGTCTCCGGTTCCCCGGGTAACCGGCTTTGTGTGCATTCCTTCGTGCTGGCAAGCGCGGTACATCCTTAAATGCCATGAATGCACTTAATGCATTTCATAAAGCCTACAATTTTTAGAAGGTGTTTAAAGTATTTAATGTAATGTTCCTAGTCTTAATCCTAATCGCTTAGCTTTACTACATCAAGCCCACGTGTTGCAATACTTTTGGTTATGGGCACAGACAACTGCCGATGTTTTGTTGGTCACAGCAAGTCGTCCGGTTCAGGTTTCAGTCCGTAGTCTGTGGGGATCGGAAACTGCAGGTGTGAATGCAATCCTTTGGTCCTCCCTGCAGAGGACCACATCATCTCCCCAAAACCACGTCGGGTTGGTATACGGACAACGGTCGAAACCACCGGACAATTCTCAGGTTCCGTGTGGTCCGTTTGCGGGAGGGTATATAGTTATACCTTTTTACACCGCTTGAAATCAAATCACCACGCAGACTACCGGACAACTGCAGTATTCGGCCCCCACTTTTCGCCGCGCGACATGCAAAAGAGCCGCACGCGTTCACTGGTTCTACAATTTGCTTTGAGAGTTTTGTTACATAAATTATTTTACTGCAGTATATTGTGGCTAGATAAATTCAAGCACACTATTTGTGCTATCAACTGGGAACCTGTCCCAAGCCTTTCCCTCTCACAGACACAGTTGTATCCAAGTTCAACGGCTTGTTCCTTTGTGCTTCCGAATGTGACCTTCGTCGAACCCTGGGACTGTTGCAGACGGCTGGCTTGGTTTCAGCAGGTTCGCATCTGGGCGGAAGAGCTTGGCTCATGGTTCTTGTAAAGCCAATATTCTGGTGACTTTCCTGGTTGAACTGCGGTTGAGCAGAGTTTGGATGGCCGATGAAACACTCAAGTCGAAGCTTTCCGCACATCTCACTCAGTCTAACCCAACGAGTCTTCCGCCAGAGTCTGCGCCGTGGGGCTCCAAATGCTTAGCACGTTTCACCCCGCGCCGGCCACCCCGCAGCGTGAAACGCCGTTCGTTCCTCGCCCAACGGCGAGGGCTTGGATGGAAAACGCCGTTCCAGCCGCCGGCTGGGTTCGAACGGATGGAAGCTGGGTCGAGCTTTGCGTGATTTGGACCATCCAGAGTGGGGGCGAGAACCGCAAGTCCGCGCATCCAATGAAGGCGGAGTTTGGATGCGGCTAGAGAAGGAGTTTGGCCGCGACTTCGCCAAAAAAACAAGATTTGGCTGGCAACCCGCCTTTTTGGGGATCTTCTTGGGTTGTCAACTCCAAAGGTTCCTACTGCCACAGCGCTGCAGTGGAGACAACCGTTGGGGTGGACGCCATGTCTGCAGGCTCGGCATGCCTTGACCTGACAGTTTATCTGCCGTGGCCGATTGGCTCTAGCGGCTGCCAGATGAGAAACATCTAGATCTAGGCGAATCAACCCAGAGATTCCGAGAGGCGTGGATATTTTGATTGCAAACTCTGATGGCCATCAACATGGGATTGTCAGCCAAAATACGCGGAACAACTCTGGTACGTCAGTAGTATGCAAGCAGTGGTCACCCCAAAGCTTGTTGACAAGTAAGATGATCAAGAGCCTTTTGGGTTGTTGATGAGAATTCCTTTGGATGCACCTGTACACTACGCGGCCCGGAAGATAAGAATTTTGTCTTTACTTGTTTGGAGGATACTTGAAACTTCGGTCTTCAGATGCAAGTTATGAGTTGTTTTCCATTGCCAAGCGACGTCCACGTACTGACATGCAAGGGGCGTGTCATCCACACGTCCAACCACCATGGAGGTGTCGTCCTTCCAGCTGTGTGCGACCCGCCCCGGACGTCAATTCTGCACCCATGAGCCATGAGCGACAAGAAAGCTGCGCAGGAGGCGGGACATGTCACTGTTCAAGATGGAGTGTTGCTGTTGGTATGACAGGTATTTGGAACCAACATGGTTGTTTGAGGAGACCAAAGCAAACCCGAGGGGTTAGACCAATTGGTCGTTATACCCGAAAGGTTAGACCCGAGGGGCAAACCCTTGGTCGTTGGAGTAAACCAATTCAAACAACCACCCAAACCCAGAAGAAGATGCACATTTGGGCGGTGCGGGTGGGGTCAAAGGGGGCGCGCTCAGGGTTGGGCGCTTTGCGATCGCCGAGTCACATGACACGGTGTGGCAAATGAGTCCGATCCGGTTACAGGATGTCGCGCGTGAGACCCTTGCCTCACAGTCCGACTCTGTTTGTCTATTTAGAGATTGGCAGAATCTCTCCGAAAGGAAACTGCAGACCAGCAGACCACTGAGATGCACACCATCACTAGAGCTATAGGTTGTAAGTCATGGGTTGAACGCTCGCTGCTTGACATTGACTGTTGGGAGTGATTTAGCCAAACAGATGCAGTTGTCACCAAAACATTCCTAGTTGGGTCACTACCTGGGACATGTCAACATTTCGTGGTCTCTTTGAATTGGCATATGATTGTTCTTTCATGCTGCATGCTCGAACGATTTACACTCCCTGCAACAATCATGGAAGTGTCTGGCATCGCCCCTTCGATGACCATCTTCCATCATTTTCCTCTACTCAGATCTACTAAGCAAACAGCTGGTTTTCATTTGCCATGATTTTCACACACGAACGGCCCGGCCGAAGGAACCGGGACCGCCGAACGGTCGCGCCGGTCACTCGACCGAACAGGACCGAACTCGGGGGTTCGGACCGAACGCAGTGTTTGGACCGAGGGGCTAGCAGCCATGAGGAACTCAGGACCCCAAGATCCGAAGGTTTCCGAGGTGACTGGGGGGTAGGGCATGGGGCACTGAGGAACTGAGACGCGGAAGTAAAGCTACTTGAGGGCCCAGAGGAAGTTGGAACATAGTTGTGGGGAAAAGCAAGGAGAAACCGATAGACCTTCTCAACTGATGGACGGATATATAATGGACGCCACGTGACCCCTGAAAAAAACGACCATCCAGGGTGTTCCCCCGGTGCTTTGAGCGGTGCTTTGAACAGGCCTTTGCCGACAAGTTCAATGCAACGCCGGCAGACTGCAGTGAGGTGCCCTGCATTTTCGGTGTTCAGAGTCTTCCTGGAGATGCTGCAGCTACGCAAAGGTTCCAAAGAAGTGACCCCCGGTTTTTCGCCGGGCCCGGTGGACCTTTGTGATACAGTGATACTCCTTAAGCGGTTCAATACTTTGGTTATCTTTGGTTAGGGAAGTGTCTACTGTATGTAAAGCTGGTAAAGACAGGATCAGGATGACAGCTGCACTCGCTGGTCACGACCAGGCACTCGCCCAGGCACTTGCCGGTGGGTCAGTACATGTCAGTACAGGTTTTTACAAAACCTGAACACTCCCAAAGCGACTGGTATACCTGGATGAGAGAGGACATGATGGTTACCCTCCGAGTCACTGGAAGTGGATGGCATGGTCCGTGGGAAGACGATCTTCCGAATTCCGATGACCAACTTCGATGTGATGCGTTCCTCGGAGTGTACCAAGAAGACTCATTGGGCGGTCAAAACCAGGAGATTTTGGTTGACCTGCCGACGGTGGGGCATTCGCTACATGGTGGACTGGTCGGGCTCTTTGAACGACCCAGTCCCGAAGCAAGGCTTGGGCACGGGTCCAAACACACCACAGGCTAGTGGTTTGCGGCCACACCGAAGCTAGTTCAAACGCAGGATATCTTTTGGGATGAAGACCTGATGACTCTATAGTGGCTTGTGTTTGGTACTTCCTACAGGCGCCTGATCCCACATGATCCCACGATCCACACCCATGTTCGGGTGCTGCCACAGCAGTTCGAACTCTTTGGACCACTCGGAACTCGGAACTCGAACTCCAACGACCCGGACGTGTCGTTCACTCCACTCGCTTGCACCGACCGGACCGGACAGCCAGGCGGACCGCTTCCGGGACGCGGACGATCGCCTCAAGGGCTCGAGCGCCGTGTCCTTGCAGGCGTGGATGGATGGGCAACTGGACGGAGACAGTTTTTCTCCGAGACTGGATGCCACATGATGGCACCAGACCCTGTACTAGACCATTCATGACCATTCTATGCGATTCTGTAGATGGCAAGACGCAAAAAAAAGGATCGACATGTCCGTTTTTCATCGGGATGTCACATCTGACCCACCGACTGACCGGGGGCACATCGAGACACTCTGACGAGAGTGTCTCTCGGTGACTGTCTCAGTTGTTCCGTACCTCGAACGGTAGATGACTGTGTCACGCGTTCACGGTTCAACATAATGAGTTCCACCTTTTTACCCCACCTTCATGGAGGCTGGAAGTTCTCATAGCCCAAATTGAGGCAAAAGGAGAAAGAGGCTCCAGCAGGACGGTGAAGGACGTCCTCAGCGAGGGCGGCAGCTTTTCGGCCGAAAAGCACCGCCGAACACCAGCGATCCGACACCGCGCTGGTCGCGACGGCTGCGCTCCCTGTGCGCTCCCTGTGCGCCGCACAACCACCGAAATGGTGGCTGGGTGAAGAGGCAGAAAAGCAAAATTCAGACGCCAAGAGCCAGAAAAAGTGGCAAGAAGTAAAAACAAAAGAAGCCAGCACTACAGCCAAAGAACAGTGGAGGCAAGAATGGTTCCAAACCCACAGGTTTCCACAGGTTCCCACAGGATGCCAAAGAAAAGAAGCCAAAGAAACAGCGACCTTTGCGAGGCCTTAGCCTTCTTCGATGCGGAGACGGTGCCGGACGCGGTCAAGGCAACCATGGAACCTTGGGAGGGAAGAGACTTTCGTTCCTTCGTGGGGAGGGAAGGACTCTGTTCCGAGGTGGGCATGAAATGGCTGAACACCTGAAAATCCCAAAGCCTGGACCTCCTAGGCATGAAATGGTCGGTCCTGTCCTGTTCATTCTCGGTCAAGCAGGGTCCCTTGGTTGAAAGACCTTCCCACGGAGCTGGAGAGAGCAGCAGTTCCGAGGTGCTAAGCTTAAAACCAGGGTTTCTGGTAGATTCTAGATGTTCTCTGAAAGTCTTTAAACAAGTGCTGGGAATCGGAAGACGATGTTCCTCTTCTAACATGTTAACATGTTGATAATTGATTCCTCCGTGGTTGCTCTCAGCTTGTGTGGCTCTGTCTCCACAGTTTTGAGACAGAGCAGTTCGGCTCAAGAAAGACTCCACGAAAAGTGTGCTAGTTGTACGATCTTTCAGAGCCTGGACTGTCAACAACTCCTTGGCAAAGAGATGCTGGGGGTGTTTGACTAACCATAACAATCATTCACACTCAATGCTGCCTCCTGCCCTCCATGGTTCTGGTTTCCATGTTGGTGTTGGGTGAGATCCAGAGAACCAGCCTAGCGTCCAGGTTGAGGAAAAGAAACCTTAGGTGCCATGTGTTTAATCAGCCGGATTGAATCAAGCTCAAGCTAAGGCTAGAGCCACGCCAACCATGCACTCTTATAGTGATCTATAGACATAAATGCTTGATGCACCCGCATCATGGAACTTTTGGCTGGCTGCTTACCCACCAAGGAAGCGTGGTGTCTCCTGCATGGGAAGGAGATGAGCTTTGAGCAATGTCTCAAGATGGTGAGAGAGGAGCCCGTGACCAGCCTGAATTCAGAGGCCAGTCAGATCTGCGATCTGAATTGATTGCCTTTGTGGCCGCCTCCAAGTTGGTCTGTGTCCAGGGAACCCTCCCAAATCAGTACAGTACAGTAATAGCTCCATATTGCTTCCTTGAGAATTCGGCTCTTGAACAAAGACCCAGAAAAGGACAGATACCAAATTTCCCTCTCTGGGGCATTTGTCTGAATGCCAATTCAGGGTTTCAACAAAGGCCTTGTGCTTGAAACAAGATTTGTAGCTAAACCGTTTACTGGGCAGAATGCCAGCGAGTCTGACCCACCATCTCATTTCTTCCCCCTTTGCGGCGTCTTCGACATTTCCATACATTTGCTTGTCAGGTTACTTTTTCTTTTCCCAAACTGGGTCAATCCCCTTCTGAGGTTCCTACGTTACTCTTATCCCAGGTTCCGAAGTGACGCAACTGGTCTGTTTGTGTCGCCCCTCCGCCCCACCGGGACGCCGGCGTCCACCCGTGGGCAGGACGCGTCCCCGCTTCTTGCTGACGGTGCCGCGTTCGGTGTCGCTGAGGCTGATTTCAAGTTGGTTGGCATGAGCGACCTGAGCTACATGAAGCCAGAGGACTGGTGGGGATAGAGGCCGGAGTGACCAGAGAGAATAGAGGCAAACGCAGAATCCCGGTCATGTTGACTCACTTAAGGTCAAAGGCAGAAGGGGTTCATGTTCAGAAACACCAGTCAGTGTTTGTTTTGTTTTTTTGGTTGGTTGGTTTGTTTGGTTTGTTTGTTTTGTTTGTTTGGTTGGTTTGTTGGTTGGTTGGTTTGGTAGGTGACTGTGGCATCTACTCCGGCATGACTCAGCCTAGCTCAAGACGAAGAGGCGTTGGACCATTGGAGAGTCGTACTTCACCTTTGGTCGATCATTGGTTCATCACACACATCTTGGGAATCCTACTTCATGATCGAAGTGGATTGATATGGAGATTCCCATTTTTTTGTGGATTCCCAAACAAACTTCATGAGAATTCCTACAAACTTCGCTCCAAACCCTTTTGTGTTTGGGTCCTGGACGCACGTTTGCCCTGGAAGTTCGCCTTCCGCTTCCAGCTGCTCCCCTCATAGGGGACCATCTCTTCAGGCGTGGTGTGAGGTGAATGGATTTCTTCGGGATCACTGGGTGAATTGATATACCCCGTTCATCTTTGCACATGGGAGGTCTTGGGACCGAAAGACCACCCATACACATTGGCACCGGGAGATCGACGGAGCTGGTGCTCGGACCACCACAGATGGGTCCGGGTGGACCGAAACGTCGCTTTGGACTCTTCCCGTTCTTCTCATGTTTGAAGCGTTCCGGCTGAAGGGCTGGTGTTGACTCATTCCCACCCTTCGGGCTGCGTTGGGGTTTCACTTCGAGATCTCCCAGGAAATTGATGACCTCGAGAAGCACGTGGCCGGTCTCGAACTGGAGTGTGCTGATGAAGCCACGGAGGCGGGCCGTTGGTGGATTGGGCGGATGCGTCCAAGAGGAGGTGGATGAACAGACTGTTTTGCTTCATCTCATTTAAATGTTATGGTGAATCTGGAATGCATCTGTATAAGTCTCCCACCATGCCTCTATTTGTCCATGTTTGATGGACTTGGCATGACTTGGATTGTGATTTTATGTGATTTTTGGAGCCCCCGGCCATTTGTGAAACATCAGAGTGAGTCTCCCCGCGGCAAGGAACTCCCAGATGGCATAGAATGCCCACGATCTCTCCCAAGACCTCCCAAGACCTCAGGAACTCACACGATGTATAGAGTTCTTTGACCAGTGGATTTGGATGGTACATGATGCTATCCATGGTAGCCCATCTACGCTATTTAGCATGCACATCTGGATCGATGCTGTCACTTATTAAACATCTTGCTGTTCTGGCAAGGTAGCAATCAACGCGGCCAAGACATTTTGTTGGAGCTTGCCATCCATTTGAGGAACTGCAGTTCTGTTTTGAGACTGGGTTGACAACAGTCTATAGACTGACGCAGACCCCCATTGTTTTCAAGGAGCAAACAATTGAAGCCAAAGCAGGAGTTGCTCCCGACTGTAACAGCATGACAACTTACAACTTACAAGAATTTCTTGAAAACAAAGGACAAAGGGTCGTGCTCTTTGTGCTTAGGACATGGTTTTGAACTCCACGCCATATGTGCAGCAAAGTAGATGAACACCCCAGGCAACTGGCTGAGTGATGGACTTTTTTCACGCAGATTTCACACGATTTTGCGCATACAATTATATATACACTGTTTACATGGTTTCTAGATCCGGAGTGACCGAGGGACCTACAACTCACCACGGCCTTTTCCCATCCGTGGCCTTTTCCCATCGGGTTTCCAGGGGTCATGTGGAGATCGGTTCCTTTCCTGGGTTCCAGGTGTAGGCCATCTCACAGTTGTAGGCGTTCCAAGATCCTACCTGAGTGGCAATTTCTCAGGTGGCGAAGATGATGCTTGAGTGGCTGCAGGTGTGGTTCAGCAGAAAAAGACGGTTTCGATTCCGTACCAACGGGGGTGAAGCCACCCAAACTACATATTTATTTGTAACAGTTGAAATACATATACAGTACATATATTGCATATTATTGCATGATATTATGTGCTGCCGTGATGTATTTAGGTGTTCAGTTTTTGTTTGACATGTTTGTTTGTGTTTTTTGCAAACAGCAACTATTGTTTTCCCCTTTAGGGCTAGATCAGTTTTGCTGGTAGATGACATGCACAAGGGATGGACCTGGGCGTTCAATTTTGTTTCATGTTTTCTTCACAATCCTCCTGGTCGGATTTGGGTTGCCACCTTGAAAGTGGTCGGGCTTGGAGACGCATGACTTTTCCCATACCATGTCGTCCCCTTCGGACGTACCTGGAAGACAGTCATAGAGAGTTGAACGCTAAGGGGTCAATCGAGCACACGAGCCATATGGGTGCCAGCAAAAAGCTTGGGTCTTGAACACCCGGCAAGGCATGCTGCCTCCGTAAAAGTAAGCAAGGTGTTCATGATACGGGTGGCGTTTACTTGTTTGCCTTGAAATTCTTGCATCCTTTGGTGGGATTCATTCCTCCTTTTCTCTATGTGGTCTGTCCCAGGACTCTTGCGTGGCAGGTGGGAGCACCTGACATTTCTTTGATTTCTTTGGTCCTCCGTCCTCGTTCTTCTTCTCGTACCACCAGGGGTGTCACTGGATGCTTGCGTCTTAGCTGGGGAAACATGGAGTTTACTTTGTTTCTTTCTCCTTCTTCCAATGGCGCCCCACTTGTTGACCATGAAGAACTTGGAACACTCCAATCTGTCTCTGCTCCTTCGTCTCTTTCTCTTTCTTCCTCTCCGTTTCCTTTTTCTTCTCTTAGCTTGTGCGGGGCGTGCTCACAAACGAAGTGAGCTGGCCCAGGTGTGTTTAATGAGGTTTGGCTTTGTCCGGTTGATCTCCTTTCACCTCGTTCCCATTTCATTTGCCTTCACACACCTTCCTGGCTTCTTTTCATGTCCGCCTTGTCTTCAGGTCTCGTCATCTCATTCCTTTTCCCCTCTTGCGGATGCATCTGTTCAGACATCTGCTCGTATTTGCACAAACCTGCACGGGAACCATGCTTTTGAGTGCGCCAGGTTTGTGACAATGAGGTACGCTCATTGGTTGTCCCTCTTCACTTGGTTTCCCTTCATTGCAACTTGACACACCTTTGCCGTTTCATGTCTCTCTCTCTCTCTCTCTCTGTGTCTCTCTCGTACTTCCATTTGTCCTCGTTTCCACCCTTCCATGTGCTTTCGCACCCACCTGTCCGAGCAGGATGGTGGAAACGAACCATTTTTAGAGGGCAGGATCGTGGCAGAGCCATACCGCATTGGGGCGCATGGGTGAAATTTCTAGAATCAACCGGCTCGGAGTTTAGCATCGGGCACGGCTCACCTGGTCGTGCAACAAGCTATGTTTCTCAGTCAGATGAGCTCTGTGTCGCATTTACAACACACTGTATTTGTTGTCGCGCCTGGGCGCATTTAAGCTGCAGGTGGAGGACACGTCCATCCCTGTTGCTTACTCAGGCTTCCTCCTTTTGCCGAGGTCTTTTTGTGGCCAGGGCATTCTGACCATTTACATTTGTTTCTCAGAGAATGTTTTTCTTTTTTGGTGTGTGTGTTTTCCTCAGATAGCGTGAGCCACGGGGTTCTTCTTCAAGCATAGGAAGAGCTGCGTGTGTGTGCTTTCGAGCCCGGGTGCTGGTGCCGCTGCAGGGTGCCGCGCTGTGCCGCTGCTGTGTGCGCTTGGGAGCCTGGGTGCTGGTGCCGCTGCAGGGCGCCGCTTCTGTTGGTGCCGCTGCAGAGCGCTGCTGCTGTGCTTGTGGTGCCGCTGCTGTGCGCTTGGGAGCTTGGATGCTGGTGCCGCTGCAGGGATCTGCAGGGTGCCGCTGGTGTGGAGTGCTGGTGGCTGGTGCCGCTGCAGGGGTGCCACTGCCGTGTGCGCGTGGGAGCATGAGAGTGAGTGAGTGCGTGCGTGCGTGCGTGTGTGTGAGTGAGTGAGTGGAGTGAGTGCGTGGGTGGGTGTGTGAGCTTGGGTGTTGGTGCTGCTGCAGGGCGCCGCTGCTGTGTGCGGTTGTTTTTGGGTGTGCACCTTTCTTTGGGCCAATGTGATGTTTTCAGGAGCGTTGTGAAGCGCGAGTGAAGTTATTCCAATGCGATCTGGGGTCTATGCTGGCGTCATTTCACCATCAGTGTTTACAGTTGACGCAAAAAGTTCTAAAATACGGTTACGCTACTGTTTGCCCAGATGGAGAGAACCATTGTGCATTGGAGCCTGGGTGCTGGTGTCGCTGCAGGGCGCTGCCAACACACACACACACATGTTTTTGCTATTTGGGGGTCTATGCTGGCAAATTTTTCTGGTCGGTTTTGCATCCAGCAAGGGTCTCCCCCAAATTGCCGTCCACGCCATAGGGTTTCTGTGTGTGTTTGGGGGCTCCCACCCCATTTGTGTCCAGGCCGCGCTGGGGCTGCACCGCTGGGCACAGCAGAAGAGAGAGTTGAAGGAGAGAGGTTTTCAGATTCTGCGTGTTTTTTCGAAGAAGATGGCCGTCGACATTTGAAACATTTTCAGTGGAATCTCACGTGTGGGAATCTGAAAACCATCAAGTACATATACAAGTTTTTTGTTGCCTGGCGCCGAAACTTTTGGGTTGGATTTCTGACTTCAATTCCAACGGGGAGTTCCTCAGGTTGACTGGTCCCTTGGGGGTTTCGGGGCAGACAACGGTGTGGCATGCGCCGGATGTTGCTGCTGAATAAAGGGAAAACTGCGGAATAGTAACATCAGAAAAGTCATGAGATATCCTTTCTTGAGGTTGGTGCATCATGAAGTTCTCATTTTCAGATTGGATGTCTACAAATTTCTTTTTGCAACGGGTAGATTTTTCTCTGTGGTAGAACCTGAAACATCGTCGAACAATCCGAGGACAAGGGCGGACACACCATGGCACTTCATGGCACTTCATGGCATCACCGATCCAGTGGACAGTGTGAAGCAATTTCTTCGAATTCCATCGGTGCATCGGTGCATCAGGGTTTAGCTCCACGTGTGGAGCTGGTTCGGCCATTGTGCCACTCGGGTCCATGGGCTGGAGGTACGACCGGGATGTTGAGTGAAGAAACACGTGGCTTTTCGCACTGAGGTGAAAACTCACCATGAAACCTCCTGGAGGTAGAGGGTTTTCACTGAACCAAGCGTGAACACCTTAGAGTTGAATAGAAGGATCAAACATGTGGGATGGAGAACCTCCTTTCTTTCATCGTATGGCACACCTTCAGGAGTGAATGGCTGCCATGCACTGCTCGAGAACCGAAAAAAAGGGGTGACTACTCGCTGCTCGCTGCTCTCGTCGCTGCTCTGTGGTTCCAACCAACCGTGATGGATCAAGAAGGGTCTCAAGGACCCCAAACTCAAGCCTCCCGACCCAGAATGGAGAAGTGTCCACTTCTGACGAGGCACCCCGAACCGACGAGGGGGGGTTCCGACTAAAACAACAATCCTTCAAACACGAGTCCGAGCAAAGACTTCGAAGGACCAGACCTACCAGACCTGCGGTGAAAAGGTCAATTTCTCCAGTTTGGTGATGTCCGGTCCGAAGGAAGGGTCCACCTTGAACCATGCGTCGGGCGACGCAAAACCACTCCTACTTGGCAATGTATGCCTCTCCAAAAGCACCGGATCACTAGTAGACAACATCAACATACATCAATATGTTCATTTGGACTAAACCAAACTAGGACTAGGAGACTCGGTGAGGGGATCCCTCTTGCCAAACCAGCCCTCGCTCCGCTTCCGAAACAGGCCCAGCACCGCGAAACAGCGCCCTGGGCGGGCGCTGGGCAGATGGCGGCCGTTCGGCCCCTGGCGCTGACGTGATCACTTCTTCTAGGTAGTCATCATCCTCACAGACCCACCAAGATATACCAAGATCTATACCAAGATCTATACTGGATATCGACTCAGCACTTCTTCAGCTTCGGTCCGCGCCGTTTCCGCACCTTCGGTTGGCCGAAGGAGCCCAGTTTCCTAGCCACGGACCTCTTGGGATGTATTTATATACTCAGAATCCATTGAATCTATTGTAGATTAGCTTGCGGAAAGCAAGACCAGCCAGAAGAAGCCATGCAACGGAAAGAACATTTTTTGTATAGTTGAATTTGGGTCTGTCCTCTTACTTGTAAAGGCCTTTACTAATCATCATCATCCACTGTTACTACTAATAGGATAGACCCTAAGTTGAATCATGATTCTCAAAAAGCCGGGACATTTCATCATTTCATCTTTGCAACAGTTGAATACATTTTGACTTGAGATCAGCCCTGGCTGCACTGGCTCCCCACAGGTGCAAAGAAAAGAAAACAACGAGAGAATAAATAAACAAAAGACAGAGGAGATGCATTAGCTTTGGGTCGTTTCTAGTGGACTCCTGGATACACACATACAAATTTCTTACAAAGCTTGTGCATCTCAACACAGCATGAGTTGGAGAGCAACTGAGCCCGGATCTGGGCTTGTTTTGCTGAATTAGAGCTTCTCCAATTGCACGTGTTGCTGAACATTCATGAACAACGTGTGTGGTAGGAGACGTCTCCTCATCGTACTTCTGGTTTTGTGCAGCATTGGCTGAACCTACCCATAGTGTCCACAGGAAAAATCCAGAACCCAGTGGTGAAACGCACCCCAAGTCCTCCGTCCTCCGTGAAATTGCCTGATCGCAAGCACCGTGCTGCCGATCTTGGCTGCAGCAAATTTTGACAAGGTTTGCCAAGACTTAGCCTGTCCCGATTTCCGCGAGCTCAGCGAACAGCGACTCCCGCGATGGACTTTGATGACCTTGATGAAGCGATTGAACAGAGGATTGCGGAGGGCGACACCGATGTGCCCCAGCCAAGTACATGCGAAAGTGGGATGGAGGTGTTGAGGGACCGGGAGTAGAACAAGTGGTGGTAGTACGAGTGGCCAACAATAGCTGTAGGCTGTAAGTGTTGCAGCGTTAGAAGTAGGAGTAGTAGCACTAGCATTTGGCAGCATCAGCAGTAAGAGGAGTAGTCGTAGTAGGAGTATATAGTGGGCCGGCCTTTTTACTATGTCGTTTTTGGAACATGTTCCGGAAGAGCGGGATCAGATGTGCAAAAAGACCAATCAAGAATCGCCGGCTTCGGGAGAGACGTGGCTTCCTCTGCTGGGCCGACGTGGGATTGCTTGAGTTCACCACTGCCCGAGCCTGGAAGATTCGGCCAGGTGATGGAATCACACATGACTAGCCGACTAGCCTGGAGCAATCCAAAGCCACAGCAACATTCAGATAATAAGATTACAATAGGTTACAAACAATACTGCACCCTGCAAAAGAACGCACCACGTCTTTTCGGGTTAGTGATCGTTAGGTCAACACTGGAAGCCAACTTTGCTGATGCAGGGGCCAGTGAACGTTCTTGTTTGTTCCTGTTCTCCCGCCACCATCACCACCACCACCGTCATCCTCGTCATCATCATCATCATCATCATCATCATCATCATCACCGCCAGCGCCACCAGAAGCATCAGCGCTACAGCCACGCCCACTTTTGTCCAACATGATCCTACATGGACGTCTGTTGAAACCACATTTCACCGACGTCTCGTTCGTTCACCCCGGCAGTGAACCACGGAGTCGCACCGTTCGTCGCACGAAGGCCTTGGCGAACCTCAGTGGCGTCACGATGCAGAAGAAAAGCCTGAAGGTGCGGACTGTGACACGAAGGACGGACAAGAAGGACGAGCCGTCGGGGTCTGTCCCAAACCGAGCCGTCGGTAATCAAAGCAAAGAAAACACATACATCATCAACTATTTAAGAGAGAGGCCTGCAACATCCTGTAACCTAACGATCATCATCCACTGGGCCCTGGTAATGGGATAGACCTAAAGGATTGGTATTGATTTTGGGTTGATACGGTCAACTGGAGGGATCACCCTTTGGTCAACTGGAGGGATCAGTTTGAGACAGATGCCCTGCTGGGGAGGCCAGAAGTTGGTCGGTTTGGCCGACCGGACCTAGCTCGTTCGGTCGATGTGTTTGGTTTTTTTCTGCCGACTGCCGGCTGCAGTCGGTGTTTTGTTGCTTCCTTTTTTCTAGCTGGTAGTTCGCTTCAAGCCCAATCAAGGGCTACAGATGCAACCAGAGTTGTGCAAGCAGACCAGCCCACTACCCCAGCCACAGCCCACAACCATTGTCGATCAATCACTGTGTTGAGCAGAGATATCACATCAGCACTCCCCAGTGACCCTGCTTTTTGGGAAGAAGGCCACGGTGTCAGTGTCCACGAGTGTCTCTTTTGAGGGTTCAAACCTCCAGGTTTGGAGGTTTGGAGGTTTGGTGTTGGTCCTTTTCATTCTTTTTCCATTGAAACCTGGTTTTCTTCTTTCTTTGGTTCTCGTGACCCTTTTCCCTTTTTTTGGGTTGGGAGTGGCTTGTGCAGTCCCCTGGAACCGCCCGTCCTTTCTGAGTCCTTCTTGGCCCCTGACATTCCTGAAGTTCGGAGCACGAATCAGACCCTGAGCATGAAGAAAAGGGCCAGAAAACAGAAACAATAAGTCAATTTCCTTGTTACCTTTGTAAGTAGGACATGTTAGGGCCTTTGTTGTGGTCTCTTTTCCACGTGACGGGAAAATGATGGAATCCTGGGCAATGGTGGTGCTCTTGTCTCTGCTTTGGGTCCCGCTCCACGTGTGGCTCACGTCGAATGACTTGGTGGACTTGCAGCGGTGGATCCAGATGCGGATGGAAGGGAATGCCGTAGATCCTCTGAAAGAAGCCAGGGTCGAGGAAGCGTGAGCAAACCATTTTCCAATTTGGTGTTGTTCAAGCTCCCTTCTCTGAAAACGTCAAGTATTAATTTAGTAGGGTTCAAATTAAAGAAAGGTGCAGAAAGACCTTCTGTAAACTCGCTCGCAACAAAACCAACCAGTCAGCCAGAGGCCAGAGAACCTGGGAAGGTTCTGTTCCCTCCTTGATGTGAAGGTTTAAACAGGGCAGGATTTGTTTCTACTTGGACTGGATGATGATTGCCATCCCAGCACAGCTCAGCTCGGCGACGTGTTTTTGGAAACTCTGCCAGGAGGAGATGACCCAGCATCGCAAGAGGAACTTCAAATTATTTGGCTGTTGCTTTTCTCACATGAATCTTGTGCTTGGCATAATCTATGCAGGTTGGGCAACCCCAGGGATAGACTCTGCTACACAGACTGCTGGTTGCTTTGTGGGCTACGTGCTCTTCACATCAGTAGCACAGGATTATGTGGAGCTGACTCCGCTTCTTGGATGACATGATCAGGTCTTAGGTAGCTGAAACATGCTGAAACGCAACTGGAGGATTTTTTCTTGAGCGAGACAGCGACAGGCTTCGGTTTTATTTCGTTATGCATTAAGCAGGGGCAGATCACCTCCCTCCTTGTCGGGCGTTGAGCCACCCTCTTCCTACCCAACTGACCCATTCATCTCCAACCTAATAGCAATGGCCTCCAACCTAATAGTGATGGCCTCCAACCTACTAGCGATGGCCATCCTTTTCCTCGTGATCCTGAACTCAAATCTGCAAACTTCAAGGCTTAGAGTCATAGAGGTTAGGAACAAGAAAATGGGCCTCTATATACTCAAGCCCCGACAAAAGATGTCACGAGTGAATTGGACTCAGACCCTTGCCCGGTCCTGCTGCTTAACGACTACGAGGCCATGGTCATAAGATTCACCACAGGAGGCTGCCCGGCTGTTTTGCTTTCGGAGTCTTTGTCGTGCCATCTCCACAGGAGCGTCGCCGCAGCACCGTCGCCACATCAACAGTTGATAACCATGTATTCTTTACTGGTTTCCACTTCGCCAGTGCGTGCAACGCCCAAAATGGCCAGACCATATCATGCGGTTGAAAGAGGACAATTCCTCCCTCGAAATCACAGAGCCCAAAGAATGCCGGCAAAAAAACACCAAAGCGTTCGGATATATGTGGGAGACCGAAATCAGCTGCATGCTGGGAGGGCCGAGATGCCCCGCATCTGCGCTGACATCGGTGGATACTCAGTACACCAGTGAAGTGACGCTGAGTATTGGATTCATGTGCTTCGGTAGATCTTTCAAAAGTCCTTCTGTGCGAACAAGCGATCAGAAGCTCCTCCATGCAAACCTAAGTGACTCTCTCTGGGTGAATGGGGAGAGCCAGCGGGGCTGCGTTGCATCAAATGCAGGTCATTCTCCTCCTTCACCCTCGTCCCCCACCCATCCCCTCCGTGCTCCCCCACGTCTACTACTAGTAACAAGAAGCTACTAGGAACAAAGGGCATCGCTACTAGGAGCAAGGACGCTACTAGTATCTCCTGGCCTTACTACTAGGAACAAGAAGCAAATCGATTCGGCCTCCGAAGCTTCCCACGTTCAGCACCTAACTTGAGTCTAGTCTTGCATGCTTTTGAGACAGGGTGCCGGTGCCGGGTGCTGGTGCTGGCTGTGGTGCTGGTGTGGGTGCTGTGAGCTGGGTGTGCGCGTGGTGGAGATAGGGTGCCTGTGCTGGGTGCTGGCTGTGCGCGTGGTGGAGACACGCCACGCTGTACTGCAGCGTCTTTTTTCCAGTGTAAAAAAGGGTCCTGTGTGTGCTGTGGAGCTGTTGCCACTGCAGGGTGCAGTCCAGAAAAAGTTGTTGCATGTTTTTGCTATCTGGGGTCTATGCTGGTGCAATACTTTGTTGATTGAAGCCTTTCGTCTTTGTTTTGCTTTTCGTGTCAAATACGATTGTCGACACCGACACCGATCCGATTAGGCGAAGGCTGAAGCTCATCACCTATTTTTGCCATATGGTGGCACTCGCAAGCATTGTCGCATCGGCTTGGTCAGACACCAGCCTGCGATCGACCATGCAAGGCTTTCACTCCGCATTGCGTTTCTGCCTGGTCTTGGCACACTTGGACCCCAAGATCACCATCCCGTTCCAAGTGCTTTACACCCTGGTCGAGGTGTTTCTACATGTTTGGGTGATTGAGGGCGACATCTTAGTACAGCTCACATCCTTTGCTTCAGGGCAACTCTTTATCTTAGTCGAAACCATTGCATCCTCCATTTTCATCGATCTGGGCCTTCGGGGGCGTTTCTACGCACAGTTGGACACCGCCGATGCAGAGTCCTTGCTTTCCAGTTTCAGACGCGTCTTGAGAGGTGGGCCCTGGAAGGAAACGAACTGAAAGCAGAGCAAATGGACCATGTTCACAAGAAAGAAAAGCACGATGACGATACCAGAAAAGTGCAGGCAAGACAACAGCCACCAAACTAGTTCTGTCATGTCGACATCGATGAACTATCATTTTTTTGGGGCTTCAGGTTCTATGATCATTGTGTTCCTTTGAGAGCATGTCTTTCATCTTTATTTCTTAACTTATTCACCCCATCACAAGTGCACAAACACATTGTTTGAGGACAGTCATGAGTGAGAACCGTTTTGATTATGGTGAAGGGCAGTCCTGAGTACTCCATTCCAGCCTTGACGAACGTCCGTGTCCTTTTTTTTCGTGGCGACACGTCCCTTTTTAGGTGTCTGTGATGGAGACGTGCTCTTGGACAGCGAGATGAATGTGGCCCAAGACAGCCAATGCTTGAGACACCTGATTCTCTCCGACGTGAGCCTCAAAGGCAAGTCCTTTGAACAGCTCTTGATCGACGATGCGCAGCGCTTGCGCTTTCGGGAGTTCATTGAGGCCTCCAACGATGCTTGGGGACGTGCGTGTAAACAAACGCGCGAGAGAAAGGAACCGCACCGGAGCAGAAGCCTTTTGGTTTTTCACGTCGTGGATGGCCCCACCCAAAAGCGAGAAAATGATGGAAAATGGTCATACGCCCCGCGACCAAGTGAAACCCAATTCGTAGAATTAAGAGTGATGAAGTTTTCTGAAGTAGCTTCTTCCTGGAGTTACCTGACCAGCAAATCAAAGGAGGCCTATCAGGCACCCGACGCGAAACCAATTGCACCTCCGCTGTGCTTGCGGGTGTCTTGTCGTGGATCTGCAGGCATACGGGTGGGCACGGATATTTACCATGTGCCCGTTCCAGGCGGGGGTAAAGCGAAAAGAACATGCAACCACTGTTGGCTTCAAGCTCCGCGAGCTCAGACGAGACCTCTTCGTTCCGAAACATCAGGATTCAACCCTAAACCAGGCCTCGGCCGTTTCGTGAAGCGCGGGGGAATGTGGAGGGGCCGAAGCGATGTGCCCGGGGTTCTTTTTTCCGGTTAAAGGGTTCTTTTCGTTAGGTTCTTGGTGTTTTTGGGTGTCTTGTTCGAACAAGATTATTGATTATTGTTCGTTTCTCGAAGATTCTGATTTGTTCAAAAACCATCTAACATCTAAAACCTGAACTTCTTTATGGGTTTTTGGACGATTGTATGAACCTCTTGTGCTGTGTTTTCACAGGTCTTTTTGGAGCAACTGATCCTTACCATTTGATCGCTTTCAAAGAAGATCCTGATTCCCGGCCACAGCTGGAAGCAGGAGACGATGTCGTCCCATCAGTGCTTTTGCCAACTCAAGGCAGACAGAGCCCTGCGCGCTTTAAGCGTGACGCGAAGTCGACACTTTCCGGAGGCACTGGAACAAGTTCTCAGCTTCAGACTTACTTCTCCGAACTGAAGGAGATGGCCTTGCTCGTGGATGTTGACTCGGAGTTCCAGGATATCACTGAGGCGCATGTGAGGTTTCAACGTGATGAGCAGCCAAGCAACGTCCCTTCTGCGTTGCGATCCACCATGCCCAGCTTGCGCAAGCTGGTGAAACCCGCCGAATGGGAGAAGTTGCGTTCAAAAGCTGTGAAGTTTTCAGAGACTTGCCAAGGCAACTATGGAACTTTTGATCCCCTGTTTTAAGTTCCATGCTTGTGAAGGAGTCCAAAATGTATCAACATGTTATAAAATGTCTATTCACTGCTACTTCCAGTCCCATTGGAGTGAGGAGAGAGGTCTCCTTGATCCAACCCTTCAACCCCGAGTGCTGAAACACATGACTTTGCAACTGCCTGGGCATTCCGGTTGGGTGCTTGCGGAAGAAGCTGCCTTGACGCGATTTCCCAATAAGGGAGCCGAACGGAAAGTTTGGCTGCATTTGAAACGCTTTCGCCCAGAGAAGTCTCCTCGGGGACCCAGCGACGGCGACATTTTCCCATCGACCCTACGCTCGAGACAGAGCCGTCAGACCGATGGACAAGGCACCGAAAACGCCGTCGCGACGGGCGAAAACGCCAGAGAAGTTTGATTTTCCTGCTCTCATTTGATGAGTTTTGCTGTTAGCAGGGCAGTGATTGCCAGCAATGCACCTGCCTTGCATGAAACCCACATTTGCTGAGAGAAAAAAAGCAGCATCCCTGCACCATAAGGTCGAACCCTTTCCACTCTGACCATCCAAGACCTGTGGACTTGACGGGAGTCAGCTGACCAGGCGTTTACGGGCTCAATGGCGCCAATGCCCCGAAACAAGGGCCTGCCGTTGCTCGACTGCATCAACAACCCTCAAGGTGCGCCGATGCGCGCAAGCGCGGTGTCTCCCTCTCTCTCTCTCTCCTTTTCTTATTTTTTTTTATTGTGTGTGTGTGTGTGATGTGTATATGAGTATGTGTGTGTGTGTGTTTGCTCGCACATTTGGGGCGCTTGGCGTGGCTTGTAGGTTGGGGCCCAGTGGGGGTCCCAGTGGCACTTTCGAAGCCGGAAGATGCCAGGCTTCCGTACGGGAGGGCAGCATATCATCAGATCATATATAACTAATTACATATATTCATCAATTTTTTTAATGAATCTTCGGTCTGGTTCTCCAGCTTTTCCCTACAAGAGCACCGCACGGTACCCGTGGAGGCGGCATCAAGATGAGGGCATTTGTGTTCTACGGCCCGGGTGTGGCTTGGACTGAGTGAAGATCTTGATGTCCATGGTTTGCTTTTTCATCTGAACGTCTTGGGGGGGGGTTTTGCTACCAGGTATCAACCGGGCAAGAGTGAAACTTGAGGATCTAAGGCATCCAAGGGCTGGAGGGGAGTTTGAGTTCACCTCTCATAGCTTATCTTCTCCAACATGCCACCTGTTTATTTCCTTCAAGTAAAGTGCCCCTTCTGAGCTCCAGATGTAGCAAGGACCTTGCTGCGCTGTGTTTTGGAAGTTCTTTGATATTTCTTAGAGAGCTCTTTGGTCAACACCCTCTCTCCAAAAAAAGTCGTCCACCGGCGAATGACAATTGTCCCGTAAACAACTTAAAAATACAAAAACCCAGTTGACCTATAATCTAGCCCCGTTTCGAACATGGGACGAGCCGTAAAAACTTGGGCAAGCACCTGGGAGACTTAGGTCGCGCAGATGGCGTGAATAGGACACGATCCATTTCAAAATATCATTCTAACTCAGAAGCCCAAAGCCCCACCCCTCGTACTGGCCAATGATAGAGAGAAAGAAGAAAAACCGCTATGCATCCCTCATTCGATCGCTTCGCCGTTGCGTGGGAGTCGCAACCTGGGGTTCGCCAGGGCCATTCTGGATGGACCCGCCATCGGACCCTGAGGACACGGCGGAAGACATGAAGTTCATCTGCCAGGGTCTCCCCAAGTGGGTTGAGATGGGCATCTATGAGTACCCAGGCCACGGCTGGCGTGCCAGTGAGGAGCGGGCTCGGTGGTCGGTGTCGAGCACAGAGGGGGTTTGTCCTTGTGGCGCGGACCTTGTGGAGTTCCGTCCTTCTTCATGTAGACGATTCATAGAACCCTGGAGGCCTGACGTTTTACAATCCAAAGAGGTGGGACAGATTCATCAACAGTCTTCAGCCTTTTCTTTTTCTCGAGCTGTTTCTGATGTGGATGATAGGATCGGAGAGTTGTTCATGATTGCTTTCTCCATGTCCCAGAGGAGTTTCCCCAGAACGAGAACGCCGATACATCTTCAGCACTGAAACGCACAACCATAGGCAATTTTTTGTATGTCTTTCTGTAGCAAGTGGCAACGTGCTCATCGAGAAAATGGGGCCAACTGGACCCAACTCTTGGCCGCCAAAAACCGGGTTCTGAGTGGCAAAACAGGGGATTTCCCAGAATCTCTAGCTGACTTAAGGCGACCACCGAACCGATTCTCGTGCGCTCCATCTTGCACCAGGAGCCGGCGAAGGACTTCGAAGCTCTGGCGAAGGACGCCTTCGAGTCCATCCAGCCAGCCATCGAGGAGCGACGGTGCCACCAATGTGAAGGAAGACGTGACAGGGTATCGGTGAGATGCAACAGAGGCTGGGGATAGAATATGTTCAAAACATGTCAATCACAAATTGACTGATTCTTCTGGTATCTTCTGGTATCATCTTCTTCTTGTTCTTCTTGCTTAGCCGAGCGCAATTGGTGACACAGCGTGCTTGGTCAAACTCACCGCCGAGAAGTGCCAACCGAATGGATGGGAAGGACTCCCTTCTCAGCGCCAACGATTCCCTCGTTCCCCACGACTGGCGCAGGAACTAGGCGAAGGTGCCAAGTATGAAGGCTCGACAGACGCGCCGACTCGGGGGTCCTAACGGGGAAGGCTCGACAGACATGGCGGACACGGCAGACATCTTCCTTGATGATCCAGACATTGTTTGGAAGACATTGTTTGGAAGATTAAAGGTTCATTGGAGTCCACCAGATGATCCAGACCTCCAAGAAAGGGCAAGGTGATGATCTTGATTTTTGAAAGGGTCTTTTGTTGCTCAAGGGTATTTTGTTGCTTAGGTTGCCGGCATAGAGATCAGAACATCGGAAATTCACACCGATTGCAGGAGGTTGAGGGTTGTCACTGGCAAGAAGTGTTTGTCTTGCGAAACTGGTAACAATTCGAAACGATCGCAATCCATTTGAACACATTCTGCAGCAAGTGGTCAGGTGCGTCGATTGTGGAATCAGCTCAGAACCATTCAAAACCGCTCTCTGGACCACCCCTCGTGCACTGACTGGGTTCTTTGTCACAGCAAGACTTTGTCCCGCCCAAGACTTCGTTTGCGCGGCGCAGGTGCTCCATTCGTGTTCATGGGAAGGTCTGTTGGTTGTCAGCTGCTTGTCTCCTTGTCCAAGACGATTCTTGCGCCTTGGACCGGAGGATTTTTTCAGGGACCGGACGGGCATGGCAACACCCATTATTTGAAGGGGGTGAAAAAAGAGATGGTCCGAAATCAAGAGGTTGATCCCGAATACGGTTGGTTTAAGAACCTTCAGAAGACCAACCAAAGTGGTGGTTTACAACATGTTACAACATGGTACAGCAGTTTCTGGACACACCCAACTCAAATCCCATACACAAAGAACCATCAAGACACCCTTTTCCTCACTGACCTCACCGACCTGGCCCATCATTTCAGGTGAAATATGGCCTGGGCCCCAGCGCCGTCGTGGTCGCTGACCGTGCGCCGCCCAATGTGCCGCTGCTGTCGGAGCAGGGGCAAACGGAGTTGAAGTCGGATCCCAACAAGGCGCAGATCTGGGGGGAGTTACGGGACTGAGAAGTCGTCCAAGTGGGCCCAGTTTTTCCCAGTGCGACGTTCAGAAAAGGAAAGATTCCCCATCCAGGTTTTCGTCTACTTTCCTTTGACCGACATCAGCTGTACAACCGAGCGGTACAACCGAGAAGGCTGGGCCCAACCGAGTGCTCAGCGCAGCGACCGTGGGGCTGCTCTGAGCAAAACAGCCGAGAGGTCCCAACCGAGTGGAGAAACATCTCCCATCCTGGTTTGGGGGGACAATCGGAAGGTTTGGGGTCTAAGTTGCGAAAACCTAAAAAGGGGTGGGGTGAAGCAACACAAAGCAACCAACCCAGGGAAGAAGACCACTGTCACACCGTCTTTTGGACCACTGTCACGGCGCATGTTTTCACCTCTTAGGCGGTGGTAGACCGAACCCCCCCGGGCTCAGCGAAAGGGCGAAACAGTGCTTGGTTTGCTGTTGTGAGGTTCGAAATGGAAGAGATCAATACTGATTTCATGGAGCACCCGGGCCTCGTACGGTTAAATCACAGGGTTATAGGTTTCATCCTGGAAACCCCGACTACCAGAAACCACTGGGTGTTTCCCCAAACAGCCATTTCCTATGTAAAGGATTTCAGTTGCCATATCGGAACAACTAGTTGTTTCCGGTTGTTTGGGTTTCCAGGATTATATATATATAAATACATTGAATTATATGTTTGTATTTTTTTCTGTGGTGCTGTGGTTCTTTTTCTTGCTTCCCACCGCACCCGGTCATGACGAGCCTCACATGTCTCCAGGTGGTCAAGGCCTTCAGCTACTTGAACTACGAGCGGATCAACAAGAACCTTGGGCCCCGTTTGCCGTCGTTTCTTTTTTCACTTCTGGACTCTGACATGTTCCGAAGATCAGTGAAGAAGGACTCATTTTGGACCGTGAAGATGGCGAAGTTTAGACTCCTTCTGGATCGAGCACATTCGAGACTTGATTGGAGACATGTTGATCATGGCATCACTTTTAGATCTTTCGGAGGAACACTGGACATACAAATTGATGTGGGTCCAACACGTTGTAGTTAGTAACCAAAGAAGCGCCCTGGAGAGGACGATCATAGACCCGAGTCCACTCGGACTCGGGTCCTTTGGGCTTTCTCCTCAAAAGCCTCGTCTGGACACAGATTCCAAGTGTTTTGTAGACACCTAGCAGGGCCACGGCCAGCCAGGGCCCAAGAAATGGCTCAGGTCAAAGTCTACCTCTCTTTCACAGCTTTGCTTCAGAAGATCCGCTGGCACTAGATCAACTGCGCTGGCACTAGCACATCCGTGTGACATGTGGAGCTGCCGAGCGGCAGGAAGATGCATTTCTGGCGAGGATTGGTGGCTCAAAGATGTATTGGAGCCCACAGAATATCTGCTGGCGAAAGACCAGAGTAATTAATGCCGAGCCCCGGCAACTGCCCTGGTCTCATCCAATACCACAGTGCAGGCAATGAGACCCCGTCCTCCGGAATGCGCTGAGCATTAGACTCATTAGACCCTCTCTGGCATGTCCCGTCAAAGCGGGGGCCTGCTACACTGCTACACGCTTGGGCGACGGAGCGACGAAAGCCGCTTCCTTCCTTCACTGAATTCCTGCATCCTTTTGCTTCCGCTGGCCTTTTGCTGTGTCCGAGGTCCGGACTGAAGGAAGGAGGGAAGGGAAGGGAAGGGAAGGGAAGGAGCAACGGAACATTTCGAGCAAGGAGCGATTCCAACTTGGAGCAGGAAGGAGCCATTGCAACTTAGCATACCTTTTGGTTCGACCACCCGAGGGTGACACTTGAGAGTAGCACACCTCGTGTGTGCCGGAAGAGGGCCACCGCTGGCCGGAAACGGCTCCGCTGGTCGGGTGTAGCTCCTATGGTCTTTCTGAGCTAGATGAACACTTCACTTGAATGGCCTTAGGCGAGAGAGGTTCGCCTGCTCACCTCCTCAAAAACGTGGGTCATTTTGAGGTCGTTGTTACAACACCTGGCTGCCTTGCAAAGCAAGCCAAGCCGAGCCACCTGTGGAGGCTCCGCAGACCACCGAGATGCTGCAAATAGGTTGAATGGAAACCGCTCCAGCAGCCCCACAGCTTCAGCAACTCACAAAATACTAATACAAAAAAAACAGCACAAGAGTCACACATAAACAAACACTCCAAATGAAAACCGGGCCCTCCTTGGATAACATGCCTGCCAAGTCCATTTCTTCTGCGAGCGATGCATCAAAGCATCATGGCTAAGCAGTGTTCCCCACAGCTGCCCGCCACGCCACGGGTTGAACTACTTCTTCAAGTGGTGTGTAGCTGATGGATTCAGAGTGCCAGGGAGTCCAATACCCCCTCTGCGGCCCTTTCTAGATGAAACTGGTGTTGAACAGGTCGATTTTCCAATGTTAAGAAGCGTCGTGCATGACTTCCTTCTCCATCCATGTCCATCCAGTTTTTTTCCCGTGAGCCGTGAGGGCGTCATTGTCCCTGATGCAGAGGGTCATTTCACGTCATTTTCGGTGCTCCAGTCCTACTTTTAGGATCTTGGTGGCTCCCACCCTCAAACTGTAGGACCCCAGTTCCTTGTGTGCTGCAAGTTATCTCACCCCACGTGATTCTTTTTCTGTAAACGCATCCGCACCTGGCTGGGACCTTAACCACCATCGCCACCGTTGATCGCCAGCGACTGGCTCGATCGAGCTGGCTCAGGAAGGTCTACGCCAGCGATTTGGCCATGGGCTGTGAGACCTTGGACGCGTTCTACCACAAGTTCCTTGGGAAAAAAGCGAATCGTCAGGAAGGAATCGATGAAAGACTGAGGATGGAGCGAACTTCGATGGCCCGAACTTTCGGGGTCACAGCAGTTCTCATCGGTCAAAAACTCAGATGACATGGGTATGGACTCCTGCGTATTGAGTCATAACACCAAGAGGCGTAGCAACCCAGGCGTTTTGTGCTTGGGAGCCGCTGCTACCCAAGTTGAGTGTGATTTCTGCCAGCCGCTCAAGTCAACCAGTGAAGTCGACATGCAGCAAATCCTGCTTGTTGGAGGGCGATTCTGTCCGGGTTGGGGTCTGCGATTCTGTCCGGGTGAACTCAATTCGTCGTGTCTTCGGCACATCCCAAGGTTTGAGTGCGATGTCCTGCTTCTGAAAGGCATCGTTCGCGTGGCCGTTCCGGTGCGCGGAGTTTCCTCGAAATCGTCCTGCCTCCGATGCGTGGTCGGTGGTCACCCACCTAGAAGTGATACTGGAGAAACAGGTGTGAGGCTGAGGGCAGTTTGTATGTATTTTTTACAAGTTTTACAGGTTCTTTTAAATTTTAAACATCCAAAAAGATCACAAAAGGGCAGTCCCTCAGGCCTGACCCCTACACTTGCGGTCTCTCTAAAAGATATCTCGTAGGACCATTGTTGCTCCTTGGCCAGGGAAGGAGATTGTTGTGACGGTCACTCAGGTCCGGTGCTTTTTGGGGGTCGCGGTCCATGCGACCCGGAACACCAAGTGCCCGACCCAGGGGGTGCTGTGGGTCCTTGGTGCACGCAGGCGAACATGATAAGTTCTTCGACACAGGGAAGAAGAAGAGCAAGTTCAAGGTGGGTGGACGGCAAAGACAGTGTCTAAAGGGAGGTCGTTCTGTTCGAGATTTGCCGGAAGCAGTCGTACGTGTTCTGGTGTGGCAATGTCGGGTGAGAACTTTCCCTGTTGTGTCATCTGAGCCTCCTGAATGAAGGGCACAGCGTTTCTCCCCTGCTGACTCTAATATGAATCTTGGGATCTTGGGATCTCTGAAATACCGAGGAATCGTATTGTTTTTGGAGGCCGCAATCGTGTCACCGTTGGTGTCAGAAGATCGGGTGGATCGAAGACACTTCCTTCGTCACAAAACACGCTCAGTAGCTCTGCCTCGAAGCTCGCTCGGGCTCTTCTTCCCCTCGTGCTCTTACCACGCTCGGGCTCTGGTGCAGTGGAGTCGTGTTGGGTCGAGCGTGGACCCCCTGTCTTGTGGACGCACCGTGTGTGAAATCTGCACAGATCATGCAGTTTTTGTTTGATTAGACTCTAGACCCAAACATCGTTGGGTGGTTGAAGCTGCTTGGACCTCAATGTGTTCACAGTTTTTCTGTTCATCTTGGATGAACGAGAGGGAAGTGGTCGACATCACCCGAAAAGCCTGCTTGTGTGAGGGTTTACAGAAACATTACATTGGGAACGGATATTTCTCCCCTCGACCTCCTGAAACTTCGCAACAGAGTGGTACATCTCCTTTGGCAAGTCGGCAAGTCTTCATCTAGTAGCAAGGACGCTATTAGGTAGAGGCCATCGCAAGTAGGTTGGAGGCCATCGCTACTAGGAACAAGAAGCTACGACCGTAGCAAGGACTTTTCGTTCTTTTCGCTTCTTCTCTTGCACAGCTCAGAGATGCTCACAGAAAAGCTCTGGCTTTCAGGCGGTGACCCTGAAGGTCAAGGGCAAGGAGGAGACTCTTGACATGCCACTCGTATAGAGTTGAGGATGTTTCCAAAAAGGGGATGCCACTCCGCGGCAGCTTCATCAGACTCCGAAGAAGATCATCTGACTGTTCGAACTTCACCGGGACATGCCTTCTTTGAGATAGCCTCCAGTTTCTAGCTTGAAGTGCAACTCCATTCAACAAACACTCCATAGACTAGTGCGGAAGTCACTTTTAAACATGTTCATCTCTGCCAAAGAAGAGGAACATTCTTTTCAAATTCTCTACTTTGTTGTTGGATTGGATGCCAGAGTCTCGGAATTCCTGACATTCGTGAAGGTTTTCCTTTTTTCACAGTCCGACCGTCCGACCACGTGTCACCTCGTCGGACCAGTGACGGCTTCGCGAGGCCGGCCGAAGCGGAGACCACGGTGGGTGACATGCTTGCTGCGGTGGATAAGATGTTCAGCTATCGCATGGGTGCGAAGCACCTTGGCACTCCCTGGCCAAAACGGCCCCACTCACTACACAACAGGCACCTCTCTTTTGGTGTGTTTCTGTCGACCATGTCCGAAAAGGACGTTCTTTACTGTACCAAAAAGAGTCATTGGATGTCGGACTGGATCTTCCATACGGCTTCTTCCGTACGCATCAACGATTCCACCGGTGCCGGGTTCGGCTCGCGGTACGGGTTCGGCTCGCGAAGAAACCAACGTCTTCGGGGAGCGAAGAACCGCACCCAAGGACGAATGGACCCGGACCCTCAACCTGCTACATGTTTGAGGTCCAACACCCTCGTTGTGAGGGTCCTACATGAGCATTTTGGACGATAAATTTTCCATGCGGAGCATTGAAAGAGCGCAAAACACCGCTTCGACGTCCATGGATGGAGGTTCCCTGGAGAGGTACCGCTGAATGTGTTGCAAGATTGAACTGGTTAATTCACATAAGAAGGAGAGTGTTACCTTCAAAGTTGTGGGATGCGGAAGCCACTTTTTTCTTTAGGAGCTGCATAGATTGGGCCCCTTGGCGCTGGCCTTTAAATCACCCATTTCTTGGTAATTAATTCTCTTGCTTGTGGACTCAAACACCCAAGGACAGACCACGAAAGACAGGATCTACCCTCTATCAACAAACCACGGAAACACACATGCCTCACGAAGTGAATTGCTTTTTTTGTCCTGGAAGACCTTTTGGGAGTCTTCGGACTTGATTATCCTCAGCGACATTGTAATATCTCTCCAATTGTGGCATGAGCTATTGCCTCCATGTGCCTCCAACCTGATCCCTTCTTGCGACTCACGAAAGTTAAAGCCATTTGCATCAGTTTGTTCAACTACTTCGTGAGGAACATTCCCGGTTCAACTTATTCTTCCGGTCCTCAAAGACAATGTCCACACCAATAATCAACAAAGACTGCCAGTTCTTGTTGTTCTTCTCCAAAGGGCACGTAGATTTCCCCAACGGTCTTCCCACATGGGGAAGGCTAAGGAAGGCTTCACAGCCGCGCTTCTCCGAGCCAAGCCTTTCAGGCTCACGGCCTCCTCGCCGGAGGGCCGCGCACTGGCTGCAGACTCCACTGTGCCAGCGGTGATGGTCGTGGAGGGCGTGGAGGCGCCTCGCTCGGTTGGGAGGTGGAACCAGATGTGATTCTTTGGACCAAGGAACGTCCATCAGGCAGGTGCTGGAACAATGTGCTGACCATATTCCATGTTTTTTGTTCTTTGAATTTCATCGAAAGACGATCACAACAATCTTGGCTTGAGGATGTTGACTTTGAGAAATACTGTAAAGATTTGTAAATGTTCTAACGCCATGTAGAACCCACTGCGGTTTTCGAGCCCGCTGTTTTTGGTTTTCATCGCCAAAGTGTGTGAACGTCTGTTATTATAGTTATTGTCCATCCTTATTGTTTCCCGTGGTAGAAGAAGACGTGTCCCGATGTGGATGGGGCACAGCATGTTCAGCTTCGAACCCTTGACCATTCAGGATTCGAATCCACTAAGCCCTATATCCAGTGATCCCTATGTGGGGAAAGACTGCCACGAGGGGTGGAACATGTGGGAGGGCGATGCAATCCATTTGAACCGCACAGACGAAAAACAAACCCACCTGTCGTGGTTTTGCCCAAAGAAGCCAAGCGTCAAAAGGCAGGGAAGAGCCAGGTAGAGGAAGTCCCCACTGCGGCGATGGGGACACCCACAAACACCCACACCAGGTTGAACTGCCAAGTTAGTGTTTGCACCTGGACCTTGCGCCTTTTTCGTGAGTCAACATCCCTCCCAGCAGCAGTCACTATATACATGAACTGAAATGGATGTTCAAAGTTGACGACTGGTGGAGCGCCTCAGGATTTCCAGCATGCCCGGTATCCTTGGCCACATCCAGTGTGCATCATTGGCAACTTGGAAGCAACCATCGAGGTGATGGAAAGGCCTGTAGGTGAGGGAGAGGCCACGGTGCGCAGACAGCGAGCAGATAGACACGTGCGGGGGAAAGAACCAACAACGGTGCCAATGGTCCAACTGACCTGACCGCTCAGTTCTCGCGGCGCCTTGGCGGCCTTGGGCGCTTTTCCACCGGTCGGCATGGGTTTGGCCGTTTGGCCGGTGGCGAGGTCCGTGATGTTTGAGAGGTGATCGAACCCCCAGTCCCAACCAGAGACAGTTCTGGGTGTTTCCAATATGGCACCAGCTGGAAATCCTTTACATAGGAAATGGCCCATTACACAATTTCTGGTTGGGACGGGGGGTTTCAAAGTTGATATCCATGTCAGTCTATATGTTGACTTGGTGTCCAAGCAGTGGAGCATGAGCCGGTGAAGACCCTCAGGTGGCGGCTTCTATGGCGTGAAGATGGCCATGGAGTCGCTCGCTGATCTTGAAGCGAGCACTGCGACAAGGGAGGGTCCTCACTCCTCAACTTTCCACAAATTCGACAGGTGGTGGAGGGGGTTCCAAGAGATCATACAGAATTGGCAGCAGCAGTTTGGGCTTTGTTTGAAAGTGATTTCCCGACCAAGATTCGTCCACGACTTTTCCGGAATGGCTCACGGGCACACACGAAAGTGCTCGGCAAGTGCCAGACAATCATCGAGTTTTAACGAATTGGGTGATGGTGAGAAGGGCGGACAAAGTTCCATAGGCCATAGGTTATTGTTCCTTCGCTTTGGGGAAGTCTCGTATCGGGCCCGCCAGTTGGAGATGACCAGGGCCTCCATTTCACCGTTCCCATCGTCAGGCTTCTACATTCTGATCAACTGCTTGAAACGACGTGTTTTGAGGTGTCCATGCCACATCGTACCTGTGGTAGCTGTGAATGAGGCGTTAGCGCCGTTCAATAGTCCGAATTGGCTCGTGGACAAAATGTGAAGCAACAATGAGAAACCGAAGAAACAGTGTTTGGAACTACATCAATGAGAGAAAAAGATGACAGGAAAGAAGACAGCAAAGTGCTTTCGATTTGTATAGTTGGGTTGAAGCATGGAACACAACTGCCAGTTCTACTAGGTTACTAGGCGCAGATGACATGGGATCCACCGAAGATTAGAAACGGTTTAGAAACGATGTGTACCTTTGTACCAAATCTCATGAGTGGTAGCTCCATATGCATGAGAAACTACCGGAACACCGTTCACAGTGGTTTTGCCTGATGGCTTTGAATGTAGTGGCACATTCTTTTCACTTATCACCAGGATTGTCTTTGGCATGTCATGTCCAACTTTGAGTCATCCTGGGACACTGTGAGACTCTTTGCTGGAGTTTCTATTTAATTCCCCAAACAGTGGACTTGGGAATGCTTCGTTGTTGTCCCACCTGTTTGGGGTCTACGGTGTGTAATTTGTTTCGTTGGAGCATCTTCACAAAGAGCTCTATTCAGAAGTTGACCAGGTATATGCTCCACAAGAACGAGAACATCATGCTCTTTGACCGTGGCGCGGCCTCAGCTTCGGCCCTCGGAACCTCACAGCGGCTTTGGGCGGCCAAGTTGGCGCCGGCCCCGCCCCCATGTTTACCGTCAAGAAGAGCACATTCACATGCATGATCGGCATAAAGCAAGCCACGGTTTTTTTGGCACTTTTCTTTTGGGTCGATCGCGGGGGTTTGAGTCTCAAACAGGGTAGCAAGGCCGTTAGACGGACGATGTCTCTACCTAGATGATGCAAAGCCCTCCCACGCATGTCTTCTTCGCGAACGGTGGGTCTGGACGGCCCCGGCGGCCCTATCCGGGCCACCCCGATGGGGAGCACACCAGCTTTGTTCAGAACATGGCAAGCTTCGTTCAGAACAGGGTGATGCCTTGGTGACGATTCAGACATCAGGGTGAGTTACCTTCTTGTGTTACCTGTATGACCTGCAATCTTGTAATGAGTTACCTGTTTTTACCTTTTTTGGTGTAAGACATGTTCTAAGTAATTACCGAGATCCGGAACTTAAGATTTTAACTGGACGACTATTGTCAATAGTACGCAACAGAGTGTGGAGCCATGACAGGTATTCCGTTGTGGACCTCTAGTGCTCAGAAGGGAAAGACTGCTGGTGGTATACCTCGTATGTCACGATCGACCCGATCGACATGACCTACACAAGAAAGGAACATGCTCGATACACTTTGAAGCACACCTGGTAGATGTAAACGATCATCCGCACGGATCGCACGGGCGCGGTCCTGAGGCCATGCGGATGCTGGTGGAGATGCCTGGCTCTACTCTGCCACGAAGTATTCCAGGCCGCGGCAGTGGCCTACAGTCTGCCACCCTCACGGGGTCCGCAGTCGTCACCGTCCGCGGACGTCCGCGGTCGGACGTGTCAAACACAGGTGCCAAACAGACTTCGGTGCCTTCAACATTTGGTGGGGCCACCAGTGCCTGGGCGACCGATGCGGCGGAGTGTGGTGGAAGTCTCTCCCAAAGAGCAGTTCTGTTTTTTCTTTTTTTAATACACCTCCCCCCGCATTTTTGTACAACAAACTATGGGTATATATATATAGAAGATGGATAGATAGATAGATGGATAGATAGATGGATGGATGGATGGATGGATGGATGGATGGCTGGCTGGCTGGATGGATGGATGGATGGATGGATAGATAGATAGATAGATAGATACTATATGCATCTAGACTTAGATTTTGAGCTTCCGTCTTATTCCCAAATGTCCGACCCCACTCTTCCTTTGCACTGTATCCAGTGGAAATCACATCGCGCGGCACCTTGTTTTGCTCCGAGAAAGGTCGTGGCTCTAGAAATCTGGACATTCTGCAACCCATTTCCGATTGTAAGCAGTTCTTATCTAGCTGTGCCTCAAATCTCCGTACTGTACTATTCTTGTAGTCCACAAGAATTGGTTTCTCAATTTCATAGGTCTTCAGCGCTGGATTTCCTTGTCCAGGTTCTGACCACACCCATTTGATCATTTGACCTTTGCAAAAACCAGTTCTAGGACTTTCATCCCTTCTCACTGCTCACTGTCATTTTCCACCTCCCCGGTAATACCCCTCACTGAGGTACAGCTTCTCTGGTGACGGTGGCTATGGCTCCAACCCCTCCAACGGCGGCCGAGCCAAGTACTCCGCCTCCTACAAGGGCCAGGGCGCCCCGCCCGAGGGCTCGGGTGCCGGCACAGGCGCAGAACCGCAGGGGAGAAGCGTCCGTTGGGCGCACCGTCCGTTGGGCGCACCGGGGGTTGCTGGGTGACAGGATGTGGCAGGGAGCTGGACAGAAGAAGAGAGTTTCTGAGGCAAAAACACGAACAGGGGTTTTGATTTTTAGCTGGTTTCTAGACAGTTTATGTATGTGTGTTTTATATTGGAGAGCATTCGTTCTAGCAACCTTCAGTAGTGGTTCGAAACATGAACAGTTGAGCATGGGAGCGAATCATGTATTCCCTATAGAAAATGATCAAGAAGCTCTTAGCCGAATGAGTTGGGGGTCGATGTTTGGGCCATGCTCACGATGTCACCTGCCAAACGACATTGTCGTTTTTTGCTTGTGTCTGTGTTTGTTTGTGTGTGTTTGTTTTGTATACGTGGTATCTGCTCGTGGGTGATATGTCATGATATGTTCATTTGATGCTCATGACTATTGGGTTTCGCTGAAGAAGGATGAAAAGGGTCTGGAGCATTGCCGTTTGGGACTGCCATCTGACTCCTGCCAGGGGTGGTTTGGGGGATGAACAATTTGGGCAGACATTCCAGTCCCCATGGAGTCATGGAATGTCTGGGTTTTGGGGGCTTGGGAGCCGACTTGTTCGATTCCACGAGCGAGGTGTCGACTACCACCCGGTGCGACAACAGCTGCTTGGATCGGACGAGTAGCTGGGGGAAGAACGTCAGAGGCCCAGACGATTTTTTGGGGGTCCAAGGGAAGGATGGAACTTCTCCATCTCCATGAGTCAGCTGGGCTTAGTTGGCCTTCCAGGATCCATATGGAACTTCTCCATCGAACCGCGCACCGCGCGCACCCGAAACAAACAGACCGCACGGCACCATGGGACGCCAGTGTGGTGTTCGAACCCGGCGGTGGCCGGTGGAGAACGAGTCTTTGAGAAGGTTGGAGGTGTGAGGTTTTGAACCCCTCCAAGTGAGAGAGGTTGATCCGTTTTACTTTATTACTATTATACTATTATATACTGTATATTATTGTTATTGTTTTTAAATCCCCACTCTCTTCTACTCCCTTTTTTTCGGAGTCTGTGATTGCGTGTTTTTTTCTTTGAAATTTGACATTGGCTAAGGATGGGAGCCCGAAGCATGTTGGGGTTCATGAACATTCCCTACAGCCCTCCGGTTCATTATGTTTGAGACACCCCAAATATTTTATTCTTCCGGTAGGGCTGGTGCTAAATTTCATTCTCGTTCGTTGGGGGTCAGGGGCTGGAGAAATTTCAGAACGGATTCTGAGGATTTTGGACTCCATGAGATATGCGCTGGAGGAGTACAACTTCAGGAAGTATTGTGACTGGGTTCGAACCTTTGTTTGCTCATAGAGGTCTTTGATGTTTAAAGTCTATAAGTGATGATGAGAGTGATATATAGACGAACGATCCATGATCAAAGTTGCAACATCCCGCAGATGTGTTCAATTACCTGTATATTGTGTTTGAAGGCTTGTGTTGTACACTTCGTTGCCGGTGTGTTGGCTCTGGTCAAATGAGTGTTTCTTCCCTATTTCGGGGCCAATGGACAGTGGAGACAAGACATTCGCTTTGCGAGTCAATCCAAATCAATATGTTGCGACTGGGGGTTCTTTGGCTTGGTAAGGCCGGACCTGAATTCATCCTGCGGTCACCACAAAACCTCCTGCTACATTGGTACTGCAAAAGTAACTTTAGTAATTACCAGGATGCACAGTCCGGCCCCAACCAATCAACTACTTGTAGGGACCATTAGAGTTTTAGGTTTTAGGCTTTGCTGTGCTATTTGGAATTGCTGAGAACTTGATCATTGAACTGTTTACCGTCTCCACCGTGTCTCAGTTTGATCCAATCTCCGAATGCCCAAGGCCTGAAACGTCCAGGCCATTGGCCCGTCCGTCCAAGCATTGACTTACACTCTCTGAAATCAGCATGGTTACGTGGAGGGCATGGCCCAAAGACTTCTTCAGATGTGAACAATCCGAAGACCATCTTCAGGTGGTGAACTCGATTCGACCCCACTGACCCGACTGATGATTTCAGGGAGTGGCTCCTCTCGTGCTGTGAGCCGTTCAAAGTCTTTAGGGGTTGGACGATGAGTCGTCCCGTCCTGCGCTCCCCTTCAGTCTGCTCAACAGATGGATCCACTTTTGGTTCCAGGAGCCACCCAAGAGATGGACCTATGTGCATCGCTGGGGCACATCTCACTTTTCTTCTTTTGCTGGCTTCTTTCCTCGAAGAAACCGCGGCAGTCTGGGCACATCTCAAGGATGAACTCGACAGTGATGAACCCGACAGTCGACACCTAGGTACTTTTGCAACCGAAGTGGCAAGCTTGAACATCGTGGGAGATCCCGAGGCCTCGAGGGGGATCACCGTGACCAACCACTCGTTTCAGCGTCCGACGCCCCCCTCCTGGATCGGTGATTCGTTCGATTTGTCGTTCAGGGCGTTCGATGGGACAAGTAGGGAACGCTTAGAGCTTTGTAGGGGCTGAACAAGAGGCAGAGTGACCGGCAGTCTAGGATGCCAGGATTTCTTGCTATTGGACCCACGTTGGGAGGGGATCTCAGCCTGGCTTGACATTTTTTGCATCCAACATTTTTTCGCGTCCAATCATGTCGAGAGGAAGACGACTCTAAATTCAATTGGTCAACTGCAACGACGAACGACCATTTGTGTAGGTCTGTTTTCGGAGAGGAGTTGACTACACATCTCATGACACATTGAGACATCTTCACTGAAGCAGAGGATCAAAAGGTCTTTCATGAACCCCAAGACTCTGTTTTTGTCCAAAAGAGAGACTGGGTGCGCACGAATGCTGCGGGGCGTTGGACCGTTGGGCGCTTGCTTCGAAAGGCTGAGGATCGCTACTACGAGCTGGGCCTCCGAAAGGTCGAACAGGAGAGGGGTAACAGGTCGAACCTCTGGGGAGGCCCAGAAAAAGGAATGAAGTCTGGGGCCTCATGTGTTTGGTGATGTTGCTACAGCTGAATCCATTCTGGGGATTTTCCTTGGAGATTGGAGATTTGAGATATTGTTGAGATGCTCATGGCGAAAGCATGCTCTTTTTAATCTATAGGTATGGGGGTCCTGCGAGAGGTACAAGGCTTAGCCAGTATAGAGTCTTGGAGTTTCAAAGTCGAATCAAGTTAAACAGTCAGTTAAACCCTGTTGAGGACCTTCACTAAGGGAGTGTTCATTTTTCTAGGTTTGTCACTTATAAATTCACCGAGACAGGATGGGCACAGGCGGTGAAACAGAGCGCCCTCTTGACAAATCTGTTCAAGAGTGCATGACCTGGTTTGCTCGGTTGGTACAGTACCAGATCAAGAGGCCTTTTGTGACTGGACAAACATCGTGACAAGTGATATTCAGCTATGGACTCTGCACAGTAGACCGCTGAATGCCCGTCAACAACCACACCTTTGAGTAGGAACCAAACACTCGTTGAGTAGGAGTTTATGTAGCTGGCTGCCCATGTGATTGTAGGATGGTGCTGTGGCCTTGCCGAAGGGCGGCTACAATGTAGCTTGGCAAGGGCAAGGGATAAGTTTTCTAGATGGAGGTTCCTATGAGATCTTAGGATTTTGGATTTGTTCATTTTCACAAAGATGATCGATTTGCCTTGGTACGAACTGCAAGGGGTCTCTTTCGGCTTCGTTCAAGAGTTTACTTGTTGGAAAAATGGCAAGCATTGTTGTAACACAGGAGGCTAGGGCATGAATTCCCCTTCATCAGGCTTCCCAGAAAATTGGGATAGACTCAGTAGGATCCAAAAAGGGAGCCCAGATGCCGTAAAAAGTGTCCAAGGCTCAACCTTTTCTTCGTGACCACGCTGGAAATGGGCCCATGCTGTTGGTTTTGTTACTGTTTGTATAGATCCTAAAGACACCCTTGCAGACTTGAAAGTCATTAGAGCATCATGAATTCCGTTTGCATATCACATCAACGCCACCCTGGCAACTTCGCTGTTTCTTTCCAGTTTACCACGATCACAACCTCTTTGGCCTGTGCGCAACACCTCTGCGCCTTCCAACTCGGATCTGCGGGGTTTCTCTGAGGCCTACAGCGATGAGAAGGGAGGGGTTGGGAACAAGGTGAAGTGCTCTGTGATTTATCACTTCCCAGGCGCGACAATTCTCCATCTCCATCCATCAGGGGCTTTTTCTTTTTTCCACCAAACACCTGGCCCAGTTGTGTGGGTCACCAACGACTGTGTAAAAAGACTGAGATGGCCGGATAACAAAATCCAATGTCATTGCCCCATGTTGGTGTTTGTCATTGTTGAGTGTGAGCGTGGTGCTGCTAGAGGATATTGAAGAGTGGCAGGAGAAACTAGAAGTCACGAAAGGTAGCCTCAGGCTACCTGAGTTCTCCTTTTGCTTTAGCAAACATGTATTGTAACCAGGACTTGGCCATTTGCCTAGAGTTTGGTCCTGTAAGAAGGGTTTCTGCTCGCTACGACTCCGTCGCGGTTTGGGTGCAAGTCTTGAGATGTTTGGACAATTCTTCAGGCATGTTTCTTTGCATAGTGTGCCCCATTCGAACTCGCACTGGAACAGTAAGAGCTCAACCCTGGAAGCATAGAAGCCTGGAACTCGAGCTGGAACTGTTAGAACTGAACTCAACCCTGGATGGCCTCGAACTGGAATTCGGACTCGAACTCGGCCTCTGCCTTGCCTGCTACCTTTCGTTCACCCCCCTCATCTCTCAAGTAGTTGGAGTGCCAGAGCAGGGAACCTCCGTGTCTGTCAGTGCTCTGGCCCGCCGGAGGCTAGGGATTCCGCCGGGGTGTATGGAAGATGTCTTGCATTGTGCGGTTGAGACGCGGTTCATCAACAGCTTCTAGATTCTAAACACCCCAAAAAGGAGAGGCGTTCTTTTCAGCATACTCAGCATATTTTGCATGTTCCATCCCAGGTGCCTATGAGATCAACCGCATCATTGACTACCCAGGCGCCTTCGTGGCTGATGGGTTTGGGCCAAGGCTTCCGGACGCGAGTGGGGCGCTCGTTGCTGGATGAACACCAATTCCACGTCTGTGGGGCCCCTGAACAATGACGCTATGCCCTGAGGGACTTCACCAAGTATGGACAGCTCCTCCTCCCAAAAACCTTTTCTGAAACGCTCGAGCGCTGCATTAAAAACCAAGGGACCTGCACCTTCTGGGGCAGAGTGTACTGCTTGCGTTTGAAGTGAGATAGGGGCCCCCCAAACCTCTTGCCTCAGTTTTCTGAAGTGGTGAAGTGTCGTGAACCTGGTGGTTTTCCGATAATGGAATTGAATGATATTATGGTTGACCTGCAAACAAGCGGCAGGAGTTGTGAATTGTGAAGGTCATGAAGGTCATGTTGTTTGGACTTTTTGTCACCCCTGAGGTGAGGATGAGTTTATCGCAGCCGGTGGGCAGATCGGCTATGGCATGGGCAATGGACAAGGTGGAGCCACTGATGTTGGGAACGAGCTGCACACTGTCATCTCGAAAAGTATATAAAGGAATCCGAGATCAGGCGTACAACGTACAGTGTCAACGATCTGAATACTTTTTCAATGTTCATTTTGATCAGGGTTGTTGCCAGAAACTACTATTTCTTGAGGAGATGCAGACAACTACTCCGGGTGGTAATGTGTTTCAAGACTGTATTTGGTCTTGGGGAGTGGATTTCTGATTTCTCGAATCAGTATGGACCCTTTATGGGGTCAGATATCGGTTTATGTGTTTCTATGTCTTTCTTAAACCATTGGACGACCATGGACATGACGTATCATGGATGGATAGATATGGATAGTCTCTTCAACCAACCTACACTATGACTCGCTCAGAAGTGACAAAATGAAACAAAACACCCAGAAGTGGGAGAGGACTATGGTCTTCATCCGAAAAAACTGGTGCAGCGTTGTTTCTGCTTGGCCGTTGAAACCTGCTTCTCCATGAGTTGGGACAGTTTTGGGACAGTTGGGAACCAGGCGAACTAAGTAGTGCGTCGGAAGATCTAGGCTGTGTCAAAACCAGGGGGACTCCGTGGTCTAAACCGCTTGCCAGACAGACAATGGTCCAAGACTTCTTGATTTGTTGCGGGATCCGCCATCTCGTTCATGCCAAGTTCGATCAAAGGTCCCACCGAAAACACGCAATCGCACAATGGCGTCCACGCGGCGTTTTCTCCAGCTCCGACGACCAGGCGGTGCTTTCTGTTGGGACGATGGCCGCATGAAGGATGCGCGCTGTGCCATCTTGGGGAATGGATGCTCAACACAGATCGATGTTCAGTTTGTTGTCATCTCGGGCAAAATATGGAGACCAAGGAGATGACCGTCTCGGCCAAATCACTGAAATCACCTATTAAGGAGATCAAGGAGGGCAGGTTTTTCTTGAATCAGTTCTTAACCACACATCTGGGGTGAACTCACTGCAAACCGACCTTTTTGACTCCTCGGTCTGCCCAAAAAGCCGAAGATGGAACTCTAGAAGGCCCTAGAATCCTGGAAAAGATCCACCAGGTCCGCTTGTAAGCAACGCCGCATGCGGAAGGACAGGTATGGTATGGTCCTGTAGACTGAAGAAGAAACATTTGGATTGTAAAACTTCCTCATGGCGTGGGGTTTTATGAATCAACAGTCCAGTCTACCTCTCGGGTGGAGGCCTTCGGGTGGAGGCCTTCTCGGGCCATGTTGGGTGGTCCGCGACGGACGACGGACGGCATCGAGTTGGAGCGGTTGAGAGTTGACGCGAAGGAAAACCGAATGTGGCGACTGTTGGAGGGAAGATGCTGTGAAGATCTTGCTTTGAATTGTAAGGGCTGGGCTGGGTAAGAAATTCTGTGATGTTTCAGAGGCTTAGGAACTATTGGGAACCCAGATTTCTGTTGGTTTAAGCGGGGTTCTGGCCAACTTCGAGGCATGGACCTACCTGGTTTTGCTTAGGATTATATGTTATTTTCATTTATTTTCCCAACCTCGGTGAATCCTATTCTGGAGGATCATTCTTTTTCCCGGCTTACGAAAGAGGCAACTCCAAGTGTACGTTCGCTTCGCTTGCATCAAGGGGCTCTCCGCCGATTTGGGCACCACGGATTCCATCCTATTCCATCTAAGGAGCCTTCGCAGTGGAGAACGTCTTTGGACAGCACGTGGTGATTCATGGACCCGTCGCAGGACCACAAGACCTGCCTACCTCGAATGAATAGCACTCATGAGGAAGGCACGACTTCCGGGACTTCTGTGGGGACCTGTATGAGATTTTGTGATGGTTGCATTAATGCAGAATTTGGTGAACAAAGTACCTCCCAGACCTGGCGGCGATATCGACGTCAGACCTGGCGGCCGCCACCGCCACGGTCGTCAAATACTGGTACCCGCAATACTGTACACCCAAACTGACCCAAACTGGCCGAGGTCCTCCATGGAACACAGCCATTTCTTTTTGGAAGGTTCCTTCGGGTTCGGGAAGGTTCCAGGCTTGCTTTCCTCACCCTTCTCTGGGTCGCAAGCCTTCTCTTTTGGGTCGCGTCGCGTCGGTCGTTCCTTCGACCGTCCAAGGTGCGAAGCTGCGTGGAGAACTCCGCAGCCAAGGTCTACATTATCACACGCAGGAAAAGCTTCTTGATGAACAGAGAGAGTTTCTGTCTTTTTAACGCGAAGGTGAACATGTTTATCCATGTAAAAGGGTTGTGTATTGTAGCTGTTTGACGGATTGAGTTGATTATATACTTATCATATATTATAATATATATGTATGTATCTATTTTTAAATGGTGTTATTCTTATCGTTTCTGTGGGGTCATCCATGGATCTGAGGGCTTTGGTTGGACTTGGGAGCCTGGAACACTTTGGCAAAGACAGCTCTTGTGAACACGTGGTCTCACCCTGGCCGTCCCAAAACGTGTTGCTCGTCCCTGGCAACCAGACATTGCTCCTGTTGGTGCCTTTGTCTGACTGTATATGGTTGCTTTTTCTGTACCGGCGGATCTTCGTCTTTTTATTGGACCCGACGGTCCCCACGGTGCAGCACGGAGCCACAGGTGGAAGACTTGTCACTTGTCTAGCATGTGCCATGCTGGCTAGTTTTTTTCTGAGCTGGCCAGGTATAGAAAATGGATGAACATGGATGAACATGGCACATTGCCACGATTTTGACGACTAGGTTCCCAGGTTCCTCTTTTAGACTTAAGTAGCTCTCCACCGGTGCCACTCGCCCCATCGGGTGCGACTCGAGTCGCCTTCGGAGGCCGAACTGGAGGCCGAACGGACCGAGGTCTCTTGTGCCCTCGACTTCCTTGCTGGTTCTGCCATCAAGGCGCCGAGCATTTTTCCACTCATTTTTTGCGTTTGGAAGGAGCATGGATGATGGGATCATGCGGATCATGGATGCACCATAGGGGAAACAATGCACGAATCCATGATTTGAAACAGGTTCTGCCAAATAGAAATAGAAACCGATTGATCTCCATAAAATTCCGCTTGCTTCCAAGTCTTTCCAAAGATCTCCATGTCATGACATGGATTCCCGCACCTCGGCATCCCAGCGGTTTCTAACAAATACTGCCGGCTTTTCGGGTCTCAAGATGAAGAGCTAATCCACTGGGTCCTAAGTGTCTTTAGTCTGCAAGAGCCGCCCTAGGCAGCGTAGGTGTTGGTTCATTAGGCTTGTGCTTGGGAGGGAGCCATAAACTGCGATCTCTGGAGCGGAACCGTTCGGAGCGACCGGAGTTTTTGAGCGACCACGGGAGTTTCACCCACCAGAAGTGACTCAAAAACCATCCCTAGCATTGGTGTCCAAAGAAACCTGCACTTCTAGTGGGGCTGGCGTACTCTCTCTCTCTCTGTCTGTGTATCCATTTGTCTCCAATCTCGGCGACTTGGTTACACGAAGAACTTGGCGTTAGTGGTTGGCAGTTTTATCTTCTTTGTTCAATGTTGGGCTGATCCATTCTTTTGTGAAAAGAATCATCACGAATCAACCGGCAACCTCTACATACCTACGTTTGGGAACCACGGTAGGCACCATTCGTTGGTGGTAGGTAGATGTCTGCCTTCCTTTGCTTGCTGTGTGGGGTCGCGTGCGTAAAAGAATCGACCAACTAGTCGTTGTCAGGTCCTGAGCCGACACCGGCCTGGATGCTGCTGAATCAGTTCAAGGCCATGTACAGCCTGGCAGGTGAGTTGGGAACAGATCTGTGGTCGGTGTAAGGTGTGCGTTTCCAGGAAAGCATTGATTTGTTTGTTTGGGATACTTCTTGAGAAGCGGGTCAGAGAACACCTGATTTGTCGGAAGTTTTCATCTTGCAACAGCTTGATGAACTAGCTTGACCCTGTTCTTCAGATTGTTTCAGAAGGGAGATGAGGAGTTTGTTACTGCTCTTTCCAGCCGGTGCCCGAAACGGTGTTTCCCAGATCTGAATCTGTTCTGACAAAGCTTTCAGAGAAGTGGTCAGGATAGATACAGTACCCCAAACCACCTGCCACTTTCGTTTTGCATGTCGTCCTTGTTCTGGACAGATTGAGCTCTCTAGTATATTGTTTGTAGAATGATCATCCGGAGAAACGGTTTTGCTTGCGCAGCACGTGCGTGCCACCGGCGTGTTCTTTTCCCCAGAGCTATTGAACTAATCATTCTTCAGAAGAAAAAGCAGGTCACAGATGCAGATGCGGGTGAATTCTGCGACCCTTCTGAGTCCGGTCAGCCTGGAAGTGGACTCGAAGTGTCGGTTTGAGAACTGCACTTCGACTCAACTGCCCCAGCTGTTGGATCGCAGAATTGTATCCAGGGCTGGAGGTGGTGTCATCCTCGGCCTGGAAGCTCGTTTTTTTCGGGCCCGAAGGGTGCGAATGACCGACCCCCCCACACCGAAAAGCTTGCTGGACATCTTCACTCCCAAAAAGGCCGCAAGTCTTAGCTCCATCTTCATCGATGCCTCATCCTCTGCGGGTGAATGTCACTTGGAGGTTCATCCACTGACTTATTGGGTGATGAAATTATTGCTTGGGAAGAGAGGTCCCTTCCGAAATCCAAGATCCAAGAAGAAGCTGCGTGCCAGGTCGCAGTTCCACTCCTTTTTGTTCGTCGCCAGGTCTTGAGGATCCATACAAGTTCTATGCGGTTCAGATGGGCAACGACCCTCACGATGTCGGCATCAAGCACCCTGGAGAGTTCTGGGAAGGACAGACAGACGACCCGACATTCGAGTGTCGACTTTAGCTGGGTGGTGAGTTTGCCTCTGGGCTCAGGGGAACAGCTAAAGAAGCAAAGCTAGAGATGCAGCAGTACAAAGTATCACCGGAGTATTGACGCTGCATACTGAAGTTGGATACTGTTGATGCCTATGCCACCTGTGTGAAGTTGTGGATTGCCCCCCGTTTGGGCTTGCTGTATTTGGCATCAGATTTGATTCGTGTTTTTTTTTTTTCCCATGAAACCATGTTGCATTGAAAAGAGGATCAATGACTCCTCAACGACCTGCAACACCTTGCATCTTCAGATGCTCTCTCTTGTTCTTTTGCACCCCAACATGTGTCAGAGGTGCCCCCCGCAAAATGTGTCCCCCGTGTATCAAACATGGGTCCCCCTTCTGAAAGGTCTGTGGTCCTGGTCGGCGAAGCTGCCGAGGCAAAGCAGTCGTTTCGGCATCGGCGATGTGACCTTCCTTTGCTTGGCCTATGGCTTGCTCGAGCCTTGTCGGTCTCGTTTGAACGCCGTGGGGCTGGAGGATTTTCTTGAACAAAAGAAGAAGCTACTAGTAACAAGGGCATCGCTACTAGTAACAAGTGCATTACTACTAGTAACTAGTAGCTTGTAGCTTCTACTAGTAGCTTCTAACTACTAGCAGCTCATAAGGTCAGGTTTTTCATGGTTTGGATTGATTGGAATGACCAGAAAGCAGGCTATTTGGCCAGGCTACATATATATATATATATTATATATTTATGCAGATTATGTAGGATTATCTAGGCATCTGCATCTGCAATCTGCACATGTCTACCTTTTTTTTTGTGTCCTTCCCACCTCCCACCCACCCAAGTTCTCCACCGAAGTCGGACCGCTTCCGGACGGACCAAACGTGATATACAAACACGCACTCGTTATCACGCCTGAATCGGCTGAAGGGTCGCCATGCTGGTCGCCATGCTTCGGATCATCACCCCCCAAAAAACCGGCTCAATCGGATGGTTTTGTTGGGAGCAGCCCTGTCGCCTGCAGCCCTCCTTGTCGCTCCGTTGGAACCGGTCGAGGAGTACCGGGTGGACACACTGGCGCGGTGCACGGCAAAGACCTTGCACCTCACAGGTGCTCCCGGTGAGAAAACAGGGCGTTGAGAAAACCGGGCGTTGAGAAACCGGAGGTTCCTCTGTGCCAGTTGGAGCAATGTATTCGGTTGGAGGACTTTGAGACTCAAACTGGTATTGGGTCGATCCTTGTAAAGCAGGAGTTTCATCGCAGTTAGCGTCCTGGAGTTAGGGCCGTACTGTAGGGGATGGTTCTGGTCGCCTTTGTCCAATGAGCCAACACCAGCAGCAAAACATGGGATTGTGAGCAGGCAAACATTGAATCAAACGCAAGGTTTGCAATGACTCTGAGATGTTGCCACATGTACTCTCCACGTGTATGTATTTCAACTGACTTGCTGCCTTGGGATCAGTCTCAAGATGTCTCAAGTGATAAAGAATAGGAACAAGGTCACGCTGACGCTGTTCACAGTATCAGTCTGCGATGCAACCTTCATGACCTTAGAAATCACGTTTTCATGCCAGCTTGACGCCAGGTGGCGAGAAGCTGGAGAACATGGACCATATTTGCAAAGCCTTGGGGCTCATCGGAGATCCGCGAGTGGACAAGCTGCACGCCATGACGCACAAGGCGCGGCTAGCTGCGGCGAAACTGGTCGGGCGGATCAGGTGATTTGTGTTCTTTTCTATAAAGGGTAAATCCCCTTCTGGGGAATATTTATGGCCTTTCCAGGTTTCCAAGAGACCGAGTGAATCACCAGCTTCCAGCGGTGCAGCTCCGTGGCGGAGAGAGATCTGGGCCGCGGTCCCACCCCCGGCCACGAAGACCTTTCTCCAAAGCCCAGCAGCGGGCGTTTTCTCTGCGTTTCCGTCCGCATCACCCCAACTTACCGAAGAAGAATGCCAAGTGAATTGGGAAAGTACCTGGTGACAAGCTGTGCTGTTTAAGGAAGACAACAGTTATAGTCAACAAGATTTATCAAAGAAAGTACTTCTCTGGGTATTTGCCACATTTTGCTACCTTTCCTTGCTCAACATCAACCAAAAAGCCCAGCAGTCTTGCTGCCTTCGAGTCTTTGTTCTTTGGGGAGCCGCCAGTCTTTGCGCGTCGCTTTGGTCCTTCGTTTCGCCCCGGTCTCGGAGACTCGTCCGGACTCCGAGCCGCCGGGACGCTGTTCGACCCACGCGACGGGGCAGGTGGGCAACATGATCAACGGCGACTTTAGGCCAGTTGGAGGGAAGATGTGATCGGTGTTCGCCCATGTGAAAGCACCGAGACACTGAAGCAAAGGGGTGAAGGATCGGAGAGCCATCTGAGCCTGGAATTCGTGAAGTGAAGTGACCTCGGCAGTTCGCACGTGTCTCACCCTTGTGGTCGGCGAACCAATCGGACCAGGGAGGGGAGCTGTGTGGTCCTGGCGGCTGCCCACTTGTTGTCCAAAGAGCACTGATTCTTGTTTTACCCTGCGCATCCAAACCCTGGACATTCGTACGGTCGATGGAACAACCTCGGGTTTCTGAAGGAAACCCGAGGTATTGGGAACCAGCTACAGGAATGACGTCGCTCATAGGTTGGAGGCTGTCACTATTAGGTTGGACGCCATCGCAATTAGGTTGGAGGCCATCGCTAGTAGGTTGGAGGCCATCGCTCTTAGGCGCACTTGTATTCTTACAAGACCTCCACAACTGACCATCCAGAAGGGAATTTCACCCCTACGCAGCCAGAAGTTCCGCTCGGAGATCTGGGGATTTCTCAGGCGGGTCTTGAGCGCAGATGCCACCGGCATGGATGCCAGGCCTGATGGTGTGGATATGTGTGGATCGACAGGTGGGATCGTTCTGTTCATATAGGTTTGTATTTTAGACGTGAAACCCATCCACCAATGGGTTGTGGTCTATGAAATCCGAACCTTCCGGGGGTCAAACTGGGAGGTCTCCTAGTCTCCCGAAACACAAACACACAGCCAGCCACATATATATATATATGCTTTCTTGTTCTCGGAAAGCAGGACTTGGGAGACTCCCAGGCAAAGGAACCTGAGAAGATGTGGAAGGCGTGATTGCACTTGTGAGTTTGTCGCTGGCTGCTGGAATTCTATGGAGTGGATTAGGGTTCATTGGACGATTGAGAACCCTGCAACACACTGTTTTCTTTTCCCGCATGTTGTGACTCATGGTCTAACACTTTCTATACCACTCACAGCACTGACGTTCTTTTGCCTCGACTTTTGCCTCTTCTTTGACGTTCTTTTGATGCCCCCAAAGTGGTCGGCGAAGCCGATCCAACTGGTTGTTTGGGGACAGAAACCAAGGGACCCAGCTCCTTCCCCAGGCAAAGTCCATGAAATTCCAATCTTTTCCAAGCACATCATGTACTTTGACTCAGGTTCCTCAAGTTCCTCAGTCTGAAACCTGCGTGCTTCGACCTTAGTCCCAGGCGCTTCACGACCTTCTCCGCGGGGCCGGGTGCCTGTGGCGTCGTGAAGCAGTGGCCGCTTGGGACGCAAACCAAGGACGCGAAGACCGGTGAAACCGTGGATGTTCTGCACTGACCAAGCAGTGTTTTGACATGCCATCGAGTTCCAAGTTCGGGCGACTGGCCAGTCGGAGGTGCCGCAGCCTTGCTGGGATCCTTTGTCACCTCGTGAACGGGCGACTCCAAGAGTCTGTCCCCCGTCCCCGGCTGGCCCGGGACAACTGGACGAGTCCAAATCGAACAAACATACCGAGGAGAGGTTGGAATTTGAGAGATATGCAAAGCCATCTTGGTGTGAGGGGTATGGGTAACTTCACCACTAGAAAATGCTGCGACCATTCCACGATTCGACCAGTTGACCATCCGAATCTGTGGCCCGTAGTCTTGGAAACCCAACAGAGGACCGATCGTGCGGAAGGTCTTTTTAGCAGACTCAGACCCTCTCAAGAAAGATGCTATAAAGAATCGCATTGACCCATCGGACTGAACAAATCGATTCGTGTGAAGTTCTTCCAGTCTTTGCTGGCGATGCCATGTCTTTGGGATGAAGGACGGGGATGTATCGATCTTTTCATGGAACATCGGCAGTGGAAGAGCTGGACTTGCCCGGGAATCTCATCATCTCAAGACTCGTGCACCAAGGAAACGATCTCTTAAGTCTTATGATGTCTCATGAGAAAGAGATGTCTTGTGAGAACCATCGAGTTTTCCTTAGTAACCATGTCTCTAGCCATACGACACATCTGTTTCGGGCGCCCGGTTTCTTCACATCTCAAGCTTCTGAACTCGCTCTCGTTTCTATGCCAGATCCAAGCAGGAGCATGCGATAGCATGTGCCATGCGTGGCGTAGAGACCACAAGACATCAACACTTCGATCCTCTTCATCGAATCTACCAGCTAGTTACTACGCTTGGTGTTTGCCTCTTCTCTGTGGAGGTGGGACCCAAGTTTTGTTGCGGCGACGGCCAGCATTTGGTAGCACTTTCTGCTACTACGTGAATATGAATGGCCATGGAACATAGTTGCTAGCGATAGCATGCGATAGCCATTGTCTTGGGCAGCTAAGGTACTACTTGCACAATCACCCTTGGCTCTTCAGGGAAGCCTGCCTTTCAGCTGCACTTGACAATCCCACGTTGCCGCGTTATCCCCAATGTCCCAATGTTGCACCAAGCACTGATTCGGACAAAAAAGCCAAGCATGACAAGTATGCTGGCAAATCCACAGCAGACACCATGCTTGTGATTATTCCTGAAGGAACTTGGCCAACCAACCAACCAACCAACCAACCAAACAAACAAACAAACAAACAAACACACACAGTCTCTCTCTCTCTCTCTCCCTCTCTCTGTGGACCAGTACACCAGTTTTATTCCATGATTGCACTCCTTTGGCCAGTAGTTCATAGACTCAAGGCTCACAGCTTCTGAAGGCTCATTCGCATAGGACCGCAAAAGCTCTAAAACTGTCGCTCGCATCGAGGTAACAATGGTATGATGAAGCTCCTGCCAGTTCACAAGAAGAGCGACACCCAGCCGGACCAGCCCGTGTACATGACCAACGTCCAGTCTCTCGGCGGGCGATGCTGTATATGACCAACTCAAAAACGACCGTCATCAAGGCTTTGGGTCTCAAAAGAGGATGACGCAAGCAGTTTGGCGTTTAGTTTTAAGTCTATATATGTTTCTATTCAACTTCTGTCAATGTTGCCGAGAGGCCCAGGTATTTTCCGACTTTCTGAGAGGAGTGGCAAGATCTCCATAGACATTATATAAGATACTCTGATGATATGCGTTCACGAAGGTTTTCCCCAAGTTGTTTGACCGCCCTGACCGAACTGAACCGCACTTGCAAGAAGACCTGGACCTCCAAATGTAGCGAACTTGGGGACCAGCGCGAGCTTTAGGACTAGCAAGCACAAGAACCACATGGGAATGTATCCCTAAAGCCCATTGGTTGGGGGTCTCCCTGCTGCACACCCATGTTTTTTTTTGTTTATTTCTTTTTCTGATCCTCCCTCCCCTTCATTCAACTGGTGAAGGACCATGACCTGAGCTTACTGTTTTTTGGGTGGGAGTGTCACAAATAAAATGTCACCCAACGAGATGCATGGCTGTTTAGCATCGCTTCGGTTCGGTTTGTGCATGTGGCATGGGTTCTGCTGTATGTATTGTTTTAGGTTTTGGTTTTTGGTACTGCACTACTACTACTACTACTACTACTACCACTACGACTACGACTACGACTACGACTACGACTACGACTACGACTACGACTAC